TATACTGGCAATCTAAATGTGACCTTGAAATTGACCTTTGACCTACTTTTTATCATGAACTGAACTCTGCTAATTTCTTTCTCTTTTAACTTCAAACTTGACAGAGATAGGTCCATAGTTACTCTTGAACTTGAATAGGAAGTCATATACTGGCAATTTACTGTGACCTTGAAATTGACCCTTGACCTACCTTACGAAGAACTTAAATTTGATTGTACCATATATATTTTTTGCAATAGTTTAAAAATTCTTGTTGATTACATTTTTACAGCTTGTCAAGCACAAAACTGGTGGCTGTGTCCCTTATTTTGTGTATGTGGGGGTCTATACGAATGCGCTTGCTCCAGCTGGTGGTACAATATTCGGAGGCGGTATCGCCTCTCTGATCCTCTAGTTTTATTTTATTTTTGGGGGGCTTTTTATTTAGTTTTTTGTTTTTCCAAATTAATTAATTAATTCTTATGATATAACTAAGAATTTCACCTCTTTCATGCATATATCAGAGTGGTGTCCCAGCTTCTGGCAGAGCTAGATGGACTTCACAAAGCTTGTGATGTGTTTGTGATTGGAGCAACCAATAGACCTGATCTCCTGGATCCAGCTCTCCTCAGACCAGGAAGGTAAGGCAGTCTTAGGGTGCAACCACAGTGAATCTATGGCCCCATTCAGAATAGGGGACTAACTAGTCCAAGGGTCAAATATGCTCAGCCCACTACAAAGCTTGCCTTTTAATCCTGCTAATAGACACTGAATAGATATCCCGTGGGGAAGTATTCAAGTTAATCAGCCATATTTGATCCTCGGACTAGTTAGTCCCCTATTCTGAATGGGGCCTATCATACCAGCTACTAACTCCAAGGGACTCTCACTGAATATAATCCGATTAACAGATCAAAATGCCTCCTCTTATTTCCAACTTGCTCATAAAATCACCAGTTTCTCTGTATTCTACTCAAGACCAGGAAGAGGTGTGTTAATCTATCAATCTGATTGCATTCTGCGAGAGTCCTGGTGGAGTTAGTGCTCAGTAGCTAGTATGAATTCAATGTGAACTCAGCATTAGATAGGGCTTATACTTATTCATATTCCATAAGTTTATTGCCCATTTGTAGATTATATTCAAATCATTTCTGTATCTTGATCATAAATTGGCACCCTGAGCTTCAGAGATAACTTGACACTAACCTCTTCACAATAGCCTATCTTCATCGTGTCAAGTTACCTCTGACCACATTGGATTGCCCCCGCCGCCCGCCAATCAAATTTAAAGCCCGCACTCAATGACTCATTGAACGATCTAGCCAATGAACGCGAACGAGGCAAAGCGCGCTTTGTTCAAATCCGGACCAATCAAAGATAAGGCTGAATATCAGGGACTTGCCGTAACCTGAGGGCAGCACGCAAAACACATCATCCCTCAGTAGATAATGATGCAGGGCCTCAAACTGCTCTGGTTTCAATTCCGATATACTCATATTTTGCAAAGAATCAACAGATAACTTAACACATTATTTTACGTAGTCACTCGTAGGAGACACCATGCTTTCTTTGTGTACGGTTATGCACTCGGAACTACTCGGATGTCTCCGCACTCGACAATAACTTTGTTGTTAGTATGGAGCTTGCGGAATCAGCCGAGGATTACCGATTGACGGTCAACCAATCAGCGTTTTCACCAAACTTTGGTGAAAAATTTTGAAACTTGGATTCGATTGGCTTATATAAACTAGGTCAAACTATTTTCGTCAGAGGTAACTTGACACGATGAAGATAGGCTATTGTGAGGAGGTTAGTGTCAAGTTATCTCTGAAGCTCAGGGTGTAAATTGGCTGTTATCTTCTGAATTAACTTATCTACTGTTTAGTAGATGAAACTGAGAAGACACCTCTGAATAGTGTTTGCACTTGATATATAGTATACCATATGTTTTATATGGCATTGATTTGTTTTACAGGTTTGATAAGCTACTGTATCTTGGAGTCAGTGACACCAGAGAGGCACAGGTCAAAATTCTGAAAGCTTTGACAAGAAAGTAAGCATTCTCTTGTTATTGTATGTCATGTACAACACATGTTATTATTGCAGTTTGTTTATTTTGTCTTTATATTGCCAACTTAAAAAAAATTCTTATAACAGAAAGTCATTTTGTCAAAAATGTGCTTGATTTTCAGTGAAGATAAATGTAAGTGGTGGGTAGTCAGACACCTACTGCTATAGAAGAGAAAGACATACTGTTGTGCGTGATTTTTGTGAATTTTGAGTGAAAGTTCAACTTAAATAATACATTGATTAAATACAGATATAACTGAAAACTGATAAAGATTTAAATGTATCACATTCATCTACAAGATTATAAAGAATTCAAGTGTTTGTTGAATTCCACCAGATTTCAGCTAGGCCAGGATGTCCGAATGGAGGATGTGGCCGCCCAGTGTCCATTCACACTGACTGGTGCTGACCTCTATGCTTTGTGTTCTGACTCACTGCTTAACGCCATGAAGAGGAAAATTGAAATGCTTGAAAATGGTTAGTGACAAAAATGTCTGTTTGAAGTACAAAGCTATTCCTGCTACCAAGGTGGTTTGTGTTTTAAGAAAAGAAAATAAGTTATCTTTCATGTTGATATGGATGCTTTAGATATTTTTACAGAAGCTTTCCTTGCAGTATTAGGGGAATATATGGGCATTTAAAATTTGTGTCAGTAAATGGAAAATGCTAAAAGACACAAATTATACATTATTTCCAATTTCTTTAATGAACAAATAGAAATAATATCCCACAAGGAAATACTTACACATGTCCATTTGGAAATGTTAGAAGTGTTCCATCCTTTCAATGTGATGGGTTCATTTAATGATGTATTATTTTCCCCATTGTCTTTGAAGAGTACATAGTTCAATGTACTTTAAGCAGTTTATCATGTGGGTTAAAATCAATTTAATGACAATCACAATAATAATTTATTGAGCACAGAAATGTCTAAAATTTAAATGTATATATATAATACTAATTATAACAGATATGTAAATAAATAAAAATATGGATTTACAGGAAGAAAGTTCAGTCAGTGTCTGTCAGTGCTGCATATGTTGGTGAACCGACACTTGTACTTTGATTAGATACGTGTAACACTCTAGTTTTTCTCTGTCCAAATGAACTTTATCAGAATGAAATTACAGACAGCTTGCCAAGAGTTTAAGGCCACTACATATATGACTACTATCATTACTAATTACACTGTAGTGGCAGCTATTCTCCATGAGCCAACACAATTAGAAACAGGTGCTTACAGCTCTCAAGAGCCTCTCATCATCTACATTTCACTAATTGGTAATAGTAATGTATTAATTCAGATTTCAGAGTACAAATCCCATTGTTTTCTCCTCTTGACAGGGTGTGTCAAAGGAAACTGCACATTTAAAATGGTTGATTTAAAATTTTTAAAAAGCCCCCTTCCATTTTGTACAAGGGAACCCTGTGTGGAAATGTAAAGGTTCATTTTTAACATTTATACTAAAAAGATTTTCCAACCTAATGTAATGTTTAATAATGATCCCTTTTAGTTTCTTCAGCATATTTGATATTGATCAATTATGAGTTGTGTATTGGAACTTATGAGTCACCCTGTATTACATCTGAGAATGTGCACATCTGTTTATTAGCCATTATGGAGATTTTGTTGACTATCTATTTGATGCTCAAACATTAAAGCTCTGTCATAGAAGTAGCTGCAAATACTGGGGAGTGTTGAACAGAACAAATACCTCAGCTCCTGCCAGCATTATTGAAAGCAGCTATTGAAATGGACTATTGGGCTCCTCTCCAGTGGCAATTAACGCATGTTTTCAACAAGCTGATGCTGACTTGTTGGGCCACACTTACATTATTAATAGCTTAACATGTGACCTCTTAGTAAATCTGACATTTTCTATCTTGTGTTCTGTTAAACAGCTCGTATGTCCTATATCTAGGGCTCAAGTTATAATTTCATTTTAATTTTTTAATTAATCTGATCTTACTCTGATTCGAGTAATATCAGCAGTTTTCTGTCAGTTTTCTATCATTCAAATATTAAAATATTTTCAAGCACTGTCTGTTTGAAAATAATCATATAATGATTGTCTCCGAAGGCCAAAATATTATAAAATGTGAAAGAGGAGAGAGAGTTTGATGTTTTGTCATTGCACTTTGTCTTCTTTTCATAGAAACTAGTGAAGTTTCTCGATGGGAACATTTGTTTTAATTGCTAGTTCCCCTAAGGAATAGAAAAATATCTGATGTAAAGTGAAAAATATAATTTATTTTAAAAATTCTTTATATAATCTTGAGTACAATAAACATAGGAGTAGGCACTATTTCCTTAACACGCAATGACAGTTCACTACACTATATATTTGAAGCTAAAGGACAATAACATCCAAATATTTCAGATAAAATTACAAAATGTGCATATTTAAAGTGGTCCCATAATAAGCAGGGTAAAAATAAGAAATGTAAATATTTCACCAATTTTATATACAAGAGTACAGAGTAAGTTTGTTGTCCATTAAGTTTTCTTTCTTTTCATCTGTATAGATAATTATATTTTCTACAGGTTAAAACCCTAATTCTAATATTGAAATATTAACTGCAATTCACAGAATTGTTCTTAGTAAGTTTACAGTCAAAATAAAACAATTTTACAATTTTTGATAATCATAATCACAACATACCAATACAGAATAAAATTAAATTGATCTTACCCGCACGAAAACGCAGTAGATGCTCCAGCGCAGTAGACTACTGCAAACATACTGCAAATATGCCTCAAATCTGCTTCGCATTGGGAGCTAATTAGCATATTTGAAACATGCTTCTATCATGCTGCTAATCTACTGCATTAATGCTCCTCCTCTGTACAACCCTATGTAATTTTTGAAGTAGAATTGTAGTAGGGTATACTGCATTTCTACTGCAAATATGCTCCACACCACTACTGCGTTAATGCTTCTTTGCTACTTCGATACCACTGCATTTTTGTGCGGGTAGGGTTAATCCATATGGGTAGTCTTTTTAAGTTTCATGTAAGAAATCTTGTCATTTTATTAAATTGTGGTAATATCACCATAGAATAAATTTTAAAAATCTTGAAGTAGTAAATATGTTAAATGAAATCATCCAAATTTAAAGACAAATTATGAATTAAAAGAAGGTGAAATCATCTTTGATTTATTGGTATATTTTCCAGGAGAGGAGACTGATCAGACCACACTGGTGGTAGAGAACCAGGACTTCACTAACGCCCTGGAGAACCTTACACCCTCTGTATCTGAGGCAGAGCTACAGCACTACAAGTTACTGCAGTTCTCTCTACTTGCTAGCTGAGACTAGTGAAAATAGAATTCTTGGATGAAAAACAATACAGTGGAGAAAGGAGCATAGTGAATTATTTAGGGTATTACCATAGTTTTCCCAGTTTTCATTCCTGAAGGAAGATAATCATGTTAATGATTCTTGTAAAGTGAGTGCTTGACACCAATAAACTGCCAGTTTTACATTATGTAGAATACTTCCTCTAAAGACAATGAATGTTTTTTTCTGATTATGGAAAGAAAATTGTGAACAGTGCCACTTTGGTTTTAAATGTCTAATATGTAAATTAAGCTTATATATAGCTGTGGCAAGTAGATAGACAAATTTGCTAGTAAATAACTTAAACACCGACTACTTGTGCATCTAGCAGCCAACAGAAGCATTTAGATTGCACTCCATGTCATTCAAAAAGACTATTTACAAGTTTCAGAACAGTTTTAACACCAGTTAATTCCCCCTGTCAATGTCAACAATTACTGCCTACTGTGCTAATGGCCCTAAGTAATATCAACTCAAGTTTGGTACATTATTTAAAGCCTAATCCATCTGTCTGTCTCTTTTTACATTTACTTAGGACAATGAAATGCTCTCATATTTGAGAAATTAACAGATGTTAAAACTTTGTCATCAGCTATGCTTGCCTAGATTCTTGCAAGACCAGTAATTGTTGGTTCTTATGTTTTTTTGTGACAATTTTTATGGAAATTGCCATTTAGTTATTATAATTACACTTAATGATGTAAAAATCTTAATTAACTGTTCTAATATTTTTCAAAATAACAGAGAGTGCATTAGAGTATATGGGCTTGTGTATCTAGATAGATATGGGCTTTACAAATATACCAGAGTATATCGGAAACTGTCCCTACATATGAACAAAATATTTAATCTGAATATGTGCAATTATGGATAATTAAATAATTTTGCTGATTAAAAAAAGTACTGTGAGTTATCTTTATCTTTTTTAATTTTCTCATTAAGCCAACGTCGTTTACTACCCCGTCACATGAAGAGATTTATTTAGTGAGAATTTGGAATCTTAATTAGCTTCCAGGGGAAAAAATCAAGTCCAAAACGATCATAGAGGATGGCAAGATGTTTCCTTAAACAAATACACAAACTGGCTGCTAGTAATTGTAAGAACCCACATGGAGGGTGACCTATTTGTTTTAATGTGCCAATTCCCCACCTGCCAGAACGCTGGGTCCTACCCGCCTCTGTTATCATCTAAGATGGCAATTATAATGCTGTACATCACTAGAATTCTTAGTTCACTCTATAGCAATTGAGATCAGAAATATGCTTTATAACAATAGCTTAATATAATCCGATTAATATGGACATATCAGTTAGTCTGGAAGAGACAGTTCAATCTGATCTAGGGCATTATGAAATTGTGATCCATCTTTTCCTAAATCCCACAAAAAACGTTAATCATCAAACAATGTGATGTTTTCCATTTTCTGGAAGACTTCGCTGTAAAGGATAGGATTCTTCTTGGCCTTTTTTCAAGTTTTCAGCCACCATTTCAAGCGCTTTCTTCTTTTCGTTGTGTCTTTTTCTTTTAATGATCACGACAATTAGAGTAACTATTACAATCAGTACCAGCAATGCAACTAATCCCAAGAGAGCGTCTTGCTTGGTGAAAAATGTTCCTGCAGACGACACGCGCTGCATGTCACGTGACAGGGAATGTGAGGGGTAATCTGGAAGAAATAGAAATGAATTATTTTTCACGGTTTAAAAATGCGTTATTCGATCTTAAGTGGCATGTTCTTGATATCTAAAACGTAGTCTAGTGAGCGTCTGCTCGTTCATGATGTCGGAATAAGACATTCCAGAATGGGAAGGGATATGGCCGACATTTTTTGTGAGAACATTCCTGGTGATGGCTACTAGTCTTACGGTTTTAGTTTCAAATAATCGGCTAAAGCAGCCGTCTAGATGCCAGTGATATATTGATGGACTTGGAGAAACGATAATGCAGCCGAATCAAGAAACACAACAGTAGCGACAGAGAGACCTTTAAAAATGCATAAATAAAAACACGAACGGCAGAAAATGCAGACGCAGCTGAAATAATTACCCGAAGATAAAATAAATCTTTGAAGCAACGACTTATTGCGGAAGTGAATCTTCAGAATTGTTTAATAAACCTGCGTCTCCATGAAACGCACTCATCACGTGAAATACAAACTGGCTACCGACTGAGCGGCTAAAACCCCAGCTCTATGTCTAAACAAACGTTCGTCTGACGGATTGTTTAGAGAGCGGCTTGAATCCTAGGGCTAGATATTACTGCTGAATAGATTTTGATCCGATAATCTTTCGGGAAAAAAAGCTTTGTTTATGCAGCGTCAATCCGAATGAAAGTTTAATGTAATTAGTGTCGGTCGAATATTGGATGGGTTGCTTGGCCCTGATATCAATATTTTGAGAAATAAGGACATAACACTTACACACGGTGGTGTATTGCTTCGCGTTAACATAACGCACAGGATAATTTTTTATATTAGAAAAAAACTTTCACCAAGAACAAGAACCAACACCAAGAAGATGCCTGAAATCTACAAAGTCGTGCAAAAACGAAACGTCCGCTTATCTGCCGCCGTAGATTCAGACTAAATGAACATTTACTATTTATTGTGAAACCAACGATTTATCCTAGAAATATAAAAATTGTATATTCTATACGAACATGGACAGACATCTTTTTGTAAAATGATTAAAAAATTATAATTATAAACTCTGAAAAATGATAAATAAAATGCCATCTTGACGTCACCAATAAAACAAGATATTTTGCACCCCAGACTTTTCAAACATACTTACATGGCACCTTGGGTTCCCCGGCAGTATTCGTACTGATGTTACCGGATTGTATCGCTCTCCAGAGCGACTCCGATTTTATATTAATACACCTGTATGAAAATTCCAAAAGGCTGTCAATGAAAGCAGCCATCTTGCAGTTGTAATTCTGTTGGAAGAGTCGCGCAGACGACGGTTCTATGATGCAGCTTTGGCGCCCCGTGCACAGCGAGTCTAGCTTAGCGAAGGCCTCTTCGGGCGTGGCGCCCTGGCACCCCCTCTGGCATTGTGCCTTGACAACATTGGGCTGAGCCCGGGTCATACAGTTTCTACACGCCTCGTTGTCACGGAAACCATACGAGGCCTCTATAATGGCTATGACTTGGCTTGGTGTTTCTGTACAGCGCAGTGTGTAACTTGCCTCGGCGCAAATAGCTGAAGGGAAAAATAGAAATTGATAAAATATACAACATTTTTTCATTAGTGAGTGTTATCTGCAAGAGGAAGAGTAAAGGTATAGTCTCATCCCATAGCTGTAGTGGAAAGATAACGGGAAACGATATGGCTTTATTTTCTAGCGAAGTCTTAAATTTCAAAGCAATAGATTTATATTTGAAATAGTTTTCACCCAAACGAAGAGAGCTTTTTTAAAACACATTAAGCTTGCAATAATTTAAAGCATAGAAGTATAGTTAAAATAAGTGCTGTTTTTTTTTTCTACCTGGGGACCTCCTAAAAATTTGCCTCGAATATAGCATTTTGTAATTGAGTAGTTTATTATACACCTGATTAAGTAATAATGGGAAAAGTATGTTTTGATTAATGATCACCAGAAAGGTTTGTCTCACGCGTTCTTTAAGCGCAGGTAAACGGACGACAGAGAGAAAGTGAAAACCCGTGGTATTTTTATTAACGGCGTGACGCAATAAACAATAGTACCTGCTCTGGCATTATTTAAGTTGGGCACAAACGTTTCACAGGTGAAAGAAAATAAATTGCATTGTTGCTTTATTTACCGTGTAGAGTAACTGTTTGTAATACTTCCTTATGCTAAATTTAAGGGGTTGTACATAAAACACAAAGAAGGGGGCAAAGTGCACTATAACAAGTGCAACAAACTACAGGTCAGAGAAGAACTGCCGTAGAGCCATGATTACGACTGTGCCTGGGCGACGCTCCCCCCTCGTCTCTCTGTGGTCGTTAATCTTAACACGGTTTCAGTTATTATGTAGGGGAGGAGCGCAGTGACGTTGCGAGATGTTAACATATTTAGGGCCTAACTTAATGTGACACCAGTGTAAAGTGTACAAAGAACGGCGTTCCACAAGTTCCTCGCAATGGGTCAAGGAAATATTGAACACTTCACCCAGTAGTGCTAAATATTCCACATAGCAATATCTTGATTCTCAGAGCTCCACTTGGCGCAGCCACTTGTGATGTTTTCCTTTCCCTATCTGCTGTGTTATCATTAATATTTCCTGCTTGCTATCCAAACCTTTACACCTCAAGTTATTAGTCCAGGCATCTGCACGATATATATATATCTACACCTGAATGATTTACTTCACTCTGGAGAACGTGATCAATAATTCAAACACGAACTGTTAGCGAACTGGGTGATAACACGATAGGAGACGCGGAGCTGGGGATTACAACCAAAGACATACCACAACATGGTAGCCGCCAAGTGGTTCATACAAGAACGCTGCTATCAAGGCAGCAGCTTACACCACTAGGCTCACATATATTGATCAAAAATAACCACACATTTCTCAAGTGCAGACCCATTTTTATTATCTCGAAGAACAGTAAATCTTTCGTTTCCGGACTTCGAGACTTCGAGGTACAGGTATTTCCGTAGGCGCCCTAACTGTATAGCATTCTTGATAGTATATGTTCAGTAAATATTTCGTTTTGGGGTTATAGCTATCACAAAAGACAGCACATGTTATATTTACAGGGTGATGACTGGTGGTTCTCTACTTCCACCGCTCTCAAGACATACGGCATAAGACTTTACTAAAAAAAACTCCCAGAGATGAGTGTTAATAAAAAACCCTTTCAATTAAACCCATATCCCACTTCACATCACTGGCGTCGCTCCACGGTTTCTTCTCTATCTAGAGGTTTTCCTCTAAGTGTGTGTGTTAAGAATAAAAGATTGAAATGGAATCAATAGGATGTTAAATGTTTAGCGACAAGACTATGGGGTCTTAAGGTTTCTTATCCGGTAAACTATGGAAGTAGGCTTTGATATACGTTACACTGTACAGTTAAGTCTGGAAACATATACGTCTGTAAGACAAGGATCTGTTCACCGTCAGTCGTCTAAATCGCTGATCCCGGCTGGTTCTGATATAAACCGATATAAAGTAAGAGTAGGTCTATGTGTGCGCTCGAAATAAGCTCTTTAGTAAACACACCACCTTCATTTTCACTTAAAATTTTCTTACCTCTCTTGATGACGCCTGGAACCCCCTCTGTGCCGATAGTAAAGTGTCCAACAACAGCAACAAATGTGACGAAAAACGAGAAGAACATTTTAAATCTTTCCTCTTAATGCCTCGGGACAGTGACTTCTGGTGTTGTGGCCTTCTTGATGGCGGTCACTTTCTTTGACTTCTATTAAAACACAAGAATCACCGCGGCATCAAAGCGACCTACACATATCACATCTCACACTGAGTAACTTGACAAAGACTGACAAAGCCTTCAAAGTTGTCGTGACGCCAGCTAACTTCCCCTGCTGTCGACTGACTCACTGCCTCAGCTCCGCTCTCCTCGCGTTCACTGGATCCCTTACTACGGAGGACTTAAAGACTTCCTAAATATCTCCTGTATAATACCTGTCGATTGATCGGCTTTCGTTTGCTTAGCGGACATCGATTCAAACTAATCGATCAACCAGGCTCGATTTCTATTCAAATAAAGAAAAAGAAGTCATTCACAATGTGTAAACAGCCTATTCATGCCCGTGCCCGTTTATACGAGGTCTCCCTGCCCCGGCAGCTTTATTATTGAATATACCAACCCCGCTTGGGAAAATAATAGATGCTCTTTTGTTATTCAGATAAGATTGTTTGTTCTGCTGGTAAGTCAGAAAAAAGGTGAAAAAAAAGAAAATGACGAATAGTACTCCCTCTAGCGTTAGGTGGCTACATTTAGTGTGGTGAGGAGTTAAATACCACCACTGAAAAACGAACAAATGACGAATCGCTCTCCTTTTATTTCAGCCGAACTCCAGAAACCACAAACTGACATTCGTGAAATGTAGTAAAATGGCGTACCGCCCCTCCTCTTTATTGCACGATGAGGACATGTGGCCCCAGGGCCAGCCATTATGTTTGTAGGGTGGATTTGTAGAAAAGATAAAGAAAGGTAGAATTGTCCTCTGACAAGTAAGGTGGATTTATTCTTGGAGGGTTGACAAAGTCATTATTTTTGTACGTTCTCTTTCAAAAAAGGTATGTTTGAGATTATCAGTCTTGACTTTTATTACTTAATGAGACATCTCAACCTGCAGAAAAATGTATCCCTCACCATTCGACTCTGTTCAAAATATCTGTTACGGCATATTTTTTGCAAATCATTATCATAACCTACACTGTATAACAACAAACGCACATATTCCATATTTAAATATTCAAGTTGGAATTAAAACTGTGGTTAGTGTTTTCTCACAACTAAATCAGTGTATTAGTGCTTTGAAACGTAAGTTTAACAAAACAAAATCACAGTTTTTTTTTCGGGTTGTTCATTTTATACATGTATTTTATGCAGGACTCGCCGATTTGAATTATCATCGAGGTGAAAAGCAAAATTTCCCACTCAGTAACTAATGCTTCATCCATCCAGCACTTGGATTCGATCTTTTATAGCAATTCTAATTAAATATTTTAGTTTTAAAATTCTGGCCAGACATTTAAAGCCATATCTTCCTGTACGTTTTAGGGGAATATTGGCATCATACACGTTTATATAAGGGGTTTTAACTTTTTAAATAAATGAATTGGGAAATAAATAAAAACGTAGGATTAGAAAATATGACTTGGGGACAAAGCACATTTTAAATCTTAAATGCTTTATCTTATAATATCAAAAATAATTTTTCGGCTAAGCGACCAAAAACTGAATCAGAGCGTTAATTTTGTGCTCCCTAAATGGTTTTTAAAGGTTTAGAAGCCCAAAACGAAAGAAATCCATTAAAAAAGTAAGGACATCGGTTACTAAACCAATTTTTCCTATTCTACATAACCGACATTCAGAGTCAAACATATAAAAAGTCCCGTCAGGTTCGGAATGTTTCCGAAAAACTCGGTAAGAGCAAACATCAGTGTTTTATGGATAAGAAATCACCCGGATGGTTACAGTTTTTGTTGACAGGCCCGACAAGTAGCCTACATGTAGTTTCGATGTTTTGTGTCTGTATATATTGTAGGCATATTGAGTAAGGAAAGATCTAAAAGGCCCAATTTCGGCAGATTTTATTTTCGGTTGTCCCCATATTTTACTATCTCCCGTTCAATATTGCCATCTTTACAACACGCAACGAGACGAGTCAAGGGACAAACTGCCACCTGCCGGAGAAGAGGATAACTACTTCCCTTGGTTCAGACTTAACCTTTACAGTGAGAGCAAGAATACATTCTTGGTATAATCAATTTATATCATGTTATGTAGAAGTTTTGGGCGAAAGCAAGAATATCCCAACCTGTAGCTACAGCAACGCATTAATTATCATTTGACGTCCCAGTTTTAGCTAAATAGGCCATTCGATAATTGTGGTCAAAGTTCAAACGAAAAGGGGATTCCCAAGCATGTGACATGACCTCTGAGTAGACATTTGCAAAGCAAGACATGTCCTCTTTGTTCAGCTTGCCCAACATTTTCGGCGGAAAAAGCCACAGGAAGTCTGACGAACTGCAAAATAAACTTGAGGTAACTAGCATTATATTGTTGGCTTCATTTGGTAGGCTACAAATAGGATCGAAATTCACGCTATAGGCCTAATCTTTTCTTGTGTTGAGTCCTTCATTCTACAAAATTATGATGCGCCATTATCTCCACCCTTAAAACATCGGCTTTCTAAGTCTACAACTATAGGAGTTAACTATTATATATCAGATGAGGGAAAACGCACATCATTTACTGGTGGGGGTTGTAGATGAAGGGATATGATTACAAATAGTCTCTGGGTTTAGTTCTGGTTGTACGCCGCTAGTTTCACTTTCGTACGTACCAGATCTGAGCTTTTCCTTTGAAAACATGAATGGAGTTCATCAACATGTAATGTCACCCCTCCATTATCATCATCATCATCATCTCTCTCTCTCTCTCTCTCTCTCTCTCACACACACACACACACACACAGTAGGCCTACCATCCCCCCACCCCTCTGCTCGGAAACTTTCAATTTTAAATAAAAGATTCATGGAATTTGGAGTCAACTCCGCAACGAACCCCGGTGTGTGCCCGTAGATTAAGCAGTTTCGTTGAAGAAAGTCTGGTGATGGATGAGTGTTGCCTGTAGGCCCTACCTCTGCATCTACAAATAATATATTATATATATGGCTATATAATTTTTCAAAATGAGTGTAAACAAGTGTATATTTTGATGTATAGCTCCCCCTTCAAACATCGCTTATGTCTGCGGCAGGTTTGATTGACAAGCATGTGTGTGTGTGTGTGTGTGTGTGTGTGTGAAACATACATAACATATATAATGATATAACTGATGGGAAAAGTTACTACTGAGTAGAATTAGGCCTCTGTGATGATAAAAATTTCATGTAGATCTGAGGCCCGGTAACTAAAAAAGTTATGCAACACACACACATTGTAGGAGCTCGAAAAAAAGAAGACCAAGGTAGAGAAAGAAATAAAAAATTGCCAATCTGAAGTATGGAAACTGGTTGCCCTGCAGAAGGAGCAGATAGAAAGTCTGCAAGAACAAAACGAAACACTGAAGAAAGAAAAAGAGGAATTATTACAGAAGTGCAAGTGCGGAAGTAGATGGACAACTCCTCATTGGAACCACGATTATACTCCCAGTCACCGTCAGCCACTTAGACAGCAGACACCACCATCCAAGAAAGGTAGTGTACAGAGTCAATCATTTGAAAAAGAATATTAAGATCAGTTTTAATTTCGTAAGGAGATTAGCATTTGATGACAATAGCAACATGAATTAGAACTGTTGTGACTGAATTGTTCTTTTATTGCGGTATTTGAAGTTTTTTTTTCAGTGGTTCTTGTACTGGTTTTTGCGTTTACAGAAACGAACGCTTTTTCTCTTTGCAGTGCATTGTTATGAAAAATGTCCTGACGCAGACGCAGTGGTCTCTGCCAGCCGACAACTCATGGCCCGAGTGATGGAGAACTTACACCAGAAATACAGGGTGGACCTTCACTCTGAACCGTGGCGCCAGGGGGCGCAGTGCGAAGAAAGCCCCATCCTGGTTTTCTGCCTGCACTCGTCTCGTCTTGGTACAGACGTAGACCAATCTTTAAAAGAATTCAGCAGAGGTGAGACGCAGCAAAATGATACTATAACACTGAATAAACTATTTTGGGCTTGCCGACGAATAATTGTTTTCCCGACAGCCAGCCCGGTCTTGAAATTTTGTTGGTACCATGAGTCCTGTCTCTTTAATGCAGAAATGGATATTAGCCTACACACACTGGACAAAAGAAGTGTCACCCCTACTGAGCCGATACTATGGGGGAGATAAATGACTGCGGAATGATATGCTCCTGGTATCATTTTTTTAACATCAACTTTCACAAAAAATCACAAAATGAGAACAAAATATACATTCTACCAAAATATGCAGTTTCAAGTCCAAAATTAGTACTTAGTGGCATAGCCACGTGACCTAATAATAGGTGACAGTCTACGAAGCAAGGTTTCATATAATTGTCTGATGCGTTCAGGGCTTATGCTAGCCCAAGCATGAAACACTGAATATAACAGAGTTTCTCTGCTGGTTAGACGGGCATTTGTAAAAAGTTTTGACATATCATTCCACACATTTTCTATTATGTTTGCAACCGGACTCTGGGCAGGCCACATCACCCTGCGAATGTCCTGTTGGTCAAACCAATCAGCAACTGCTCTGGGCCTGTGACAAGGAGCATTGTCATCCTGGTGAACAAATGGATAATTTCTGTCACCAAACATGTTAGTAATAGATCGTAGCAAGCCTGACTCCAAAACATCGATATATTTCTAGTGATTCATGTTTCCATTAACCACTATCAATTCGCCCAAGCCATGGATGCTGATGCAGCCCCACACCATGATGAATATGCTGCTCCGGGTTCGAAAATTCAGTGCATGTGGTCCAAATGCTTTACCAGCAGTTTGCCAGCATAGTACCCGTCTGTCATCAGAGGTCAGACCAAAGCGACACTCATCAGAAAAAATATATATAGGACCAATTGTCATGAACTGTCCAGTTCCAGATCCTGTTGACCCTAGTTTACTCTACGTTGCCTGTTTTGTAACGATATAAGAGGTTTCAGTCTTGCGACCCTGCTGTACACTCTCTGAGCATATAACCGACGCCTAGCAATTTTCACAGACACATTCTTACTTGTGAAATTGTTCCACTGTGTTGTCAACTGACAAGCAGTGTCGAACTTTGACAACCTGGACATCAAAATCAGTCGTCGGTCTTCACGGCCAGTATTTTTTCTTGGACGACCCATCAGAGGCAAATTGTCTGTTGATCCAGTGTTTCCATACCGAGATCAGACCCTCTGCACGGTTCTGACTGAACAATTCAATTGTATCGATATTCTGATATTGCTTATATTCCGCATCTTCAGGTTAATAACTTGCACCTATAACCGTTAGATAATTGCCTGTATCTTGCCATATTGGAGGAAGACAGGAATAACATTTGCTGTACATGTACACGACTAACAATACAATTCCATGGTATAGCGGGTTTATACTCATTACTCACATTATAAGTAGACCAGGCATTATAAGTACCCAAGATCTGCCTACTTTTATTACTCTGAGTTAGGGGGTGACACTTCTTTTGTCCAGTGTGTGTAAATTCTGTCTCTTCTAGCAAAATAATAATAATAATAATAATAATAATAACAATACGTGTGTGCTAATATGAATAACTTAAGTGTTAAAAGTTATATGTGTTCATTGTTTCAGCTGACACAAGCGCCATTATCCTGATAGTTTTCCACCACGTGGCCCCTCACGCCGACTTCGGCAACTCCACCGACTCCACTCTGTCCCTAACAAGACAGGGGAGGGCTAATCTTGTTCTGGACATGGTGTTGTGGGAGTCCTCGGGTTTGTATTCGTCCCCCGTTAACGAGGAAGCCCTAGAAAAGCTGGTGAAATATTTGGAAAGTCGCGCCAAGGAGCAAGTGCCTCGCAGTGGTACCGTCACAACGCACTATGAATATGGAAATCCATATTAGCAAAACTGTAGGTCGACTTATTAGGATATGATGAAACCAACCAAATATAGATACATTTGAAAAATTGCTTTTTCAAAAGACAGACTAAATGCCTTTGGATAGAATGGATTTGAATTAAAATTTTTAGTTTTTAATGTTGTATCGATTTTAGTATAAATAAAGTTGATCAAACCCTTGTGTCGAGTATTGGACGATTTGGTTTAAAAGATATGTGTGTGTGTGTGTGTGTGTGTGTGTGTGTTATATTCAAAGTAGTAAGGCGCTATCCAAATTATGTTGTATAAATATCTAGTGAATCCGAGTAAAATTATATAAAACATATATCTTAATATTTTGGTTTTATTTATGGTCTTTTGCCTATGTCTATAGTAAGCCTATTTGAAGATAATTTGAAGAGGCGAGGTCTTCATGGTTTTAAAACTTTATTATGAAATCGATCCTGTTTAATAAAATGAGGCAGTCCAAATCAGGAACGAAAGTATTGTGGGTATTTCGTACATGGTGTATTTTAATATTATGAATTAAAAAAAAACTTTGTGCAATAGGAACCGGGCTTTCCGTTGCTGACTGAAAAATATATTGTGATTCCATGATAGTTTGACATTTCTGACACAGCATTTGGTCCACGAATGGAAAACAGTTTATTTAATGCTTAATTTTACTGTCGGCAGGGTTAATTTCCCCGTTTTTTTTTAAAATATTCAGTAACAAGCAAACTAAAGTCGCCCAAAAACAATTAACTGCTCTATACAGAAGATTGTCATATTTTTTACTACGTTATACCTGCAGGAGATAAATCAAAGATCAAAACCAGGGATGAATAAATTTTCAAAGTGAGTAAAACGTTATTCACAGCTGGACATTTTGCATTTGTGTTCCTTTTTGAGGGCTAGACGATGAATTATATGAAATAATGCATATTATTCATGGTTCCAGGAGAGTTAAACTTTGATAGAAACTAAAATAATCAAACATAGTTTGCAATCTGTGCACTAAATGTTTTAATAGCATGCCTGTGACCTCATTTGCACCTCTTTATTGGGTTTGAGTGGTTGTTGAAAATGCATATTCTATGTACATTAAAAATTTTTATAAAATGTATTTATCTCAAATTATGCCTGTGGTCCTAACATTGACGGATAACTTACATGTACTGACACTTGAATTTTGAAAAAAAAAATTGTCATCAAATATCCGACATTTAAGTAATATAGGCCTATATGCTATCATATTTAACACTGATAACAGGTCATAGATATAGCAGAAGGTCGTTTGATCAAACCTCCGAACCGTTTATGTTAGGAATGTCTTTCCGAGTTTGGATTTGAGTTTAATATGATTAAAAAATGCTGCATCGCATAACATTCGGCGCATTTGGAACTAAGCAGTCAAAGGACGGAAAACGGGACAAGAAAGAGGAAACTTCAGACACAACTGTAGAAGGGGAAGTAACCGGCTCGTTACAAAATGGCGGTGGCAAAAAGGAAACCGTTCATTCTCGTTCAGGCAATAGAACAACTGCCGGCATGAATCCGGTAAATACCACATTTTTTTAAACTTCAGTAGTAAAAGCATAGTGCAGTTTGCTTCCACTGACATTTGGATAAAAAAATCGCCCTACTCTCAAGGGACAAACTGAGTGATGACGTAGGTTAATTCTTGGCAAAAATTCTCACTGCACAGTGACTAAAAATGCAAATAATTAAAAATATCCGTGAATATATCTATTGTAACCCTGGTAGTTGGTACCCTCAACCCTTCGCACAAATTGATAGGGGCGGGATACACTTAGACTGAGTTCCCATATCTAGATCAATATAACAGGATTGATCCATCTCCAATACAAGAGGGTTCTCTCTAAATTGCATGCTTTCAGCACAGTTAGTACGATAGGGTCTGGGAATGGTCCCTTAAATCAAGTTGTCCGACCAAGGGCACAGCCAGTTTCTAATTAAAATTACTTTTCAGAAGAGTTGTTTTTCCTTCAGCATCATTCAATATTGCCTAGTCGTCCCTTTATCAGTTTGACCAACTTTAGTTACGCTTTACTGACATGAAGAGTCTTAGCACAAGGTAAAATTATTGGTATAAAACTCTCTATTTAAAGCATGTTGATCGCTCTCTCTCGATGTTTTAAAGGTTATTTTAAACAGTGGGCAAGAATAGAATAGGGAGCAAGATCCATTAATTTACATTAAACACCATTATGATAGAATTCATCAATGCATCTTCATCACTATACCCCCCCCCCACACACACCATTTCTGTACACACGCTCAATTCTGCGACCCCGTTTTTTACAGGATGAGCAAAATTTAAAGCGAAAAATTCCAGAACTCGAAGCTTCTTCGAATTTGAACAGAAACCTTAAAAGGAAACTTGATAACTCACTGGAAAATCAGGCAGGTCTTATTTATTCTGAAAAAGGAAGAGACATTATGTCGACACCAATAGATCAAGAAACTTTGAAACACAACGCGGGCGCTGTTCAACAGAATGCATGCAAAAAAGTGAAAACAGGCTGCAGAAACGAACTAGATTCTACCCCAAACCTGGTAAATGATATTTTTTTAAAACTCAACTAAATGTGTATTTGGTCTATTTGTCTTCGTATTCTTCGGGACATGGTTAGGTTATTATTATTATTATTTTTTTTTTTTTTGAGACAAATTGTTAAGATAATTCCTACAAGCATGTATATAGATTATTATTTCGCCATAACCAGTTTTATTTCTGTCTATTTGACATGGCCTCCTCACATATGGCCATATGTAAGGACACAATAATACATATACTCTTTTAATATTTTGGCATCACTTATGGTCAACCTATCATTTGAAGATAACCAGTGTGAATATTCGACATCTTTAGTTTTTTTCCAATTTTTTAAATGATTAAATCATTGAGACGATACTAACTCCCCGTAACCAAATCTGAGCTGGTAATGTGCGTTGTTGATGTTTCATCTAAAGATGGCTTTTTGCTCATGTTTGAAGAAACTGAAACTGGTTTTTATTTCAGGGCGTAAAATCCAAAGAAGAAAACCGCAGAATCAAGTCAGATTCAAAGGCGAGTGTGGAAAAATCCCGCGAAATGAATATCAACCCCCAAAAAGACAAAACATCCATACAGAACGTGAGTACGGACGCTCACCAGGGTCAACCTGAACGGTCACAAAGTATTTCACTTCCCCCTGGTCCGTCAGTCAGTGGACAGCCTAAAGGCGGTGATTTAGACCAGGAAGAGGAGCTCGTGCGACGTCCTGAATCAGCGCCGCCACTCCTGGAACAGACACCACAGGCACAAGATAGCGCTGATGAAGGTGAACATGAGAACCCAGCCTCGTGTCAAAAAACCCACCAACAAAAAGATGACAGATATGCACATCTAGAAGAGAAGTTCGTGGAACTCCAGAACCAGTTTGTCAAAGAGACGGAGGAGAAAGAAGCCCTCAAAATTAGACTGGAAGCTGCAATTGAAGCAGTGCGTCTAGAAAACGAAAATCTTAAGGAAAGGCTAGGCGAACTGGAAAGCAAAAGCTGCACACTAGAGTATTTTCAAACCAAATGTGAACAACTGGAAAGCAAAATCCATAAATGCGTTTGCTGTAAAACCGCAACACTTGGCGGGGCACAGGGGTTGACGATGTCTGATGCAGCCCAGATCACTGAAGACACGCCTGGAGCCGGCACAGAGCAGACGACACCATCAACGTCAGCGGAAACTACTGCATCACCTCCGTATCCTACAACTGGAGTGAAGAGAGAGAGATCGACAAAAAGAACAGGTGACTTTTGAAACAAGAATAAAAACACCAACTTAAATCCTTCATTATATAAAACAAAAATCTTATCTCATAGATAGGCCTACTTAAAATCAACATAATGGATTTTTTTCAATGATTTACTTTTCTGTATGTCGTGGTAATTAAATTCCTTGTGAAGACGATTGCAATTGTGCATTTTTGTTACAGTCATTTTGTAACATGCACAATATTTGTTTGACAAGTCAGTGATGGATCGCAATGCCATGCCTCGTTCATTAAAAGGACGATAATTATCTTCAGATATGATTAACATTTTCACAAATTTTGTTCTAGTTCCATTCTTCCAAAGGGCACCGCGTTCTCCCGTGTTTGGCGCCGACCAGAATTTCCTCAATGAAGTCATATCCGGTCTGAAGGACTGTGGGTAAGACAAGAATTTCATTCTAAAAAATGAACAGCAGGGCCGTAGCCTGAGCAAAATGCCAGTGGGGCAGTAAGTGGACACGAGGGGGCGAAAAATTTTAAAAACTGTAGGTATAATACTGCATTCTGGTGCATTTTAACTGTTATTTATTGCTCAATCAGAAGTCAGAAATTGTGGGTTCATTTTGCCATAAGTACAGTCATTTTTTCGACACAACACGCCAATTGGACTTCACTCCCTAAGGGAGGGTGAGCTTTTTGGCATGAACTGAGTTGGCTAAAAACAGTACACCTTTGTAAACAGATTGTTGAATGATTGTCTAGTGGCCATGAGTGCATTTTCTCACAGAATTGATACCAACTTTGCAATAATTTTTTTTCACCTTTGCGATTATTTTTTTTTTTGCACCTTAAATCCCAGAGGGGGCAGCTGCCCCCCCGGAGGCTACGGCCCTGGAACAGAACGCAACACCTCAAGACAATGCAATCGTGGAGCCAGTAGATATTACCATTGTTTTGACAACCCATTTTTTTTTTATTTTTAAATAATTTAGTTTTAATTAAAATTACAACGTATTTGGCTAATAGTATAATGCTACTGGAATGTAAGAGTGATGTTCTTTTTTTCAGGGATGCTTTATTGTCCCTTTTTATTCCTATTTTATCCTATTTAAAATGTTTTCTATATTCATTATGATTTCTATTCCGTGTCTAAAAACAGTTTGCATTACCTGGTCTGACCCGTGTTCATGGCTCATATCCACCTTGATTTTTATCCTTGTCCTTTCACAATTCCTAACAGGGAGAAAATACAAATAAATCAGGAAATAAATCTAACAGGGAGAAAATACAAATAAATCAAGAAATAAATCCCGTCTATTCTATTTGACAGGATAACGCTTGAACAAGAGAATTTGGAAAACGTGAAGCTGATATCGTCTGCTCCTCTGATTTTATTTTGTCTTCAGTCTTCGCGACTTGGGACAGATGTGGATCAAGCGCTGAGGGAATACAAAGGCAAGAATTTTCTTCCGACTTTCACTGCTTACGATTCATTGCTTAGAAACATAAAAGATTTTCGTCTATAACTAAATTAATACATCTCTCTCACTCTATTTGGATATATCTCTCTCTCTATATATATATATCCACTCAGATTTGCATACATTTAATTCCATTTACAATTTCAGGCGCGCGGCTAGACATCATTCTGATCGTGATGCGCCACCTCCCCCGCCATGCTAGACGGTTCACGCCGACTCAGCAAGTCTTACCCAGACATCCACAAGTCAAGTTGACAGTTGATATAGTGTTCTGGGAGACCGAAGGCTTCTATCAATGCGAGGAAAATCAAGAAGCAATAGTACAAGTCATTTCATATTTTCAGTATCTGTGCTCTGAATCAGTCTGATGTAAATAATAAGAATTGATGGGAAATTCGCAAAATATATTACTGCGGCACGTATAGGTGATAGATGATCGCTTTATTGAACACATAAAATAATGACATTGAACATCCTCTAGACTGCATTTTTACAGTGTAAATCTACGTCAGTTATGCTTCTATCTACGAATACACTTTGAATTCATTTAGTTGCGTGCTAATAGTTTGCCAAATTGTGTAGTTGTATGATAATGTTTAGTAGTGTCAGTTTCTGAAACCTCTTGCTTATATTCATTGTATTGTCTGGCTTTTAATCTATTAAATTTTTTAAAAATCTAATTAGTTTTGTCCCCGTATTAATAGTCGTGGTCAGAAGATTTTTGAATGAATACGTGATGTTGCCAACTGATACAGTAACCAGTGAGTTGTTGAAGAATATCCTAAAGCGTCAGAAAAGTTCTGCACAAAATTACAGGAAGATGCATGGAAAGCACAGCTTAAGTTTTAAAATAATTGGATTTTACAACATCCAAATTTAAAAAGAAATTTATGAATTATTTGCATAAGTAATGATCATTTATTTGTTTATTTCACTAAAATGTTTAATAGAAATAATATTCATCAGTTAAAATTAGTGCTGTGGTTAATACAGTGAACAAAACGCTACAAAATGGAAGGCTTCTCTGAAAATTTAGCATGTTGAAATCCAGTGTAAACACATTAGTAACAGTCTATCACGGCACCTTCATCTGGCTCTTCACAGGAAGCTAAGATATCGTCTAATATACTGAACGGATTCTCAGCATAACCATCACTGCTTTGACTTTTTTCATGTAAAATCTCTGGAACATCCACTGTTCTTAGTTCTTTTACTGATTCCATCAGACAGTTAACTTTGTCCTTTTTACATTCACCTTCCACAACTGAGTAAGTTCCATCTGCAATATTTTGACATTTTGACTGTAATTCTGGCATAATTTCTGCTATCATCTTGGCAGCCTTTTCACATACTTTTCTGTCACAATCCTTTACAGCAAAAAGTAAAATCTCACAGCATCTGTTCATAATGTCTAATTCCCTTGCCTCAAGAGAGAACTCTCTTTTCCTTTGCTTTGATTGTGAGGGGGCCACCACAGCATAGGCTGGCGTGTCCACGTTTTGGAAACATTTTGTAAAGACACTTTCCCAGAAGGCAAGCACCAGAACCTGCACCTCCCAGTCAAAATCTTTAATAGCTGTTGTCATGGAGACTAGTATGACGGCCTGTGTTGTCTCTGGGGCTATAGAATACCAGGATGAGAGCACCTGCACAGCTGCTCTGCGAGGAAAAGCTTCACTATCTGTCTCCAATAGGCTGAGAACATCCTGCACAACAGCGTCCTAGACAATAAAGTGAGACCATATATAACTTTTGATAAACAGTTTGCCATCTTTATTTTTCAATCACCAAATTCCTCTTTTTTTCTTGCCTTCATTCAGACATGTTTGTGTTATCACGCTTTCAGTGTGTAAATCTACAAAAGCTGTGAAACAGTTCTGACATTGATAAAAAAAAAACGACCTCAGAATCTGATTTTTTATCACCTGAGATAAAGAACCAAATAATTCTGGTGACAAAACAATACCATGCTGCCTTTAACTGGATTTAACTCACCATTTGAAGGTTACTCTTAGCTAACAAATCCTCCCACAGAACATGGTGAGCTGAGAGAGAAGACACAGCCCTCAGACCACTGGCACGGACATAGCTCTCTCCATCTTTGATGCTACTCCAGGTTAACACATGAAGATCATGCTGAGTGATCCATGAACACACACTGCAGGGATCTGTAATAACCCATAAACACTTACATTAAACATTTCAAAGTATTTTTTACTTCATTAATCATTCAAGGATGGAGCGAACTTTTTAAAACATGAGAAAGATAGTCTTGAAGACTTTACACTATTACACATCGCATTTATATCAGCTGCACATTGTTCAATATCAGGGTTCATAAAAGATATTTGTCATTTTTTGTAGTTTAATCTATAAGACTATGTATTTATCACCAATTAATAAATTGTACACACTAAATTTAAATAAATTTGTACCAGTTTTTCTCTTACTGTGGCATACCTGTGGAATGGTTTGGTAACTGACCAATCATCTCCAGGGCGGAGTCTCGTACCTCCCACCTCATATCACACAGTAATCTCTGCAGCAGGTGCCCCAAACGCTCAGAAAACTCTGCCCAGCACGGCAGCTGACCAGGGTAGACTGAGAACACACTACCCAGGCAGCAGGACAGACACTGAAGACATGTCACAGCAACCTGGGGTTAGAAATAATCAAGATAATTATTTTAAATTTGGACATGTTTACTTGAATTTACTTACATGTATAGTACAGCAAAATTTTAAATTTTACATAACTTGTATTTTCTTGAATTGTACTTGAATTTTCTGTGAAGAGATGTTTTGTTATATAGATTGCAAGAATTGCTTATATTCAAATTTTGACTGCCCTGACAACAGTTTCTATTTATGCAATATGATTGACAATTACAAATATGAAACATCCTTAAACCTATATAAAACCACATTGAAAGACTTACTGTTACACTACTTGTAGTGTCTTCTAAGAGCTTTGTCAGATGTGAAGCTATTTCTATTTGACCACATGAAAATTTAGATACATCATTGTCTGAAATAAAATCAACAATATTTAACTATTCATAATTTTTTTCATCAAATGTCAATTTAGAAAACATTGTACAATTACACTGGCAATATCCATAAACCCCACAAATGTTTCCAAGGTTCAACAGCTACCATAACACAAAACAATAATATATTTCCTAAATCTGATGTTTCGTGCAAATCACTTCCAAAACTTTGACATCTTTCAAGAGAATTATGAACCAAAAGTTGGCTGTTGTACTTACCCTGGAGGTAAGACTGACAGCAGCAGGTCTTCACTGTCTTCAACAAACTGACCATCACTCTGTCTGTGGACAATACAAGATGACCAGTAGTGGACACTTGTGATTGGAGACTTACAGCTTCTTGTAAACAAGAAACCAGTGCTTCAAAACAATCTACTGTGATGCCCTAAAGTAAAAACAATAATAATAAACTTTTTAATAGCATAATTCCATAACTAAAAATAATACATATGATTACTTCAAGAACTTGGTTAAATCTTGAATATAATATCATCTTGTAATATCTGACTCTCTACTTGAATACAACAGATGATATAGGAGAAAGAAACAAGTTGAAAAAGTTAGTCTATTAGCTGACATTTAAAATTGATGATGCACAGCACATATTAAATCTACCTGTTGCAACAGATTTTGAAGAACTTGTAAAGAAGCACAGAACAGCTTGGATAAAGCAGTGTGGTTTGTCATAAGAAGATGGGTCTGTGGCCCATATTGTGCCACGTCCTCTGGTGGTGATCTGCCAGACACGACCAGAACAGGAAGCAGATTTATCTGGAGTAGATCTGGGAAGGGCTCATCTCGCTTACTAGAATATCAAAGGTAAAAATGACATGAGGATATCTTATGTAACATATCACAGAAAAACAACTTCATTTCGGTCATGGTGAAAATAAATGCAAATTAAACAAAACTGTGGCTTGAGAGTTTGGTGAACAATATCATGTCACTCCTCATAAACTTAACCTCTAAATTCTGATGTCATTCTTGTAGCCTTTTTGCATCCAACATTCAAAATTAGTGTTCCAACCCAAGATATACTTGTGGGTGGGAGCAGGGAAAAGTAGAAATATTTCCCACTCAATTGCAGGGTGCAGAAACAACATAAACCAAACATCAGGTGATATAACATTTCCCCTTCAGAGTGGCAAAATAATTTAAAACCTGCACCCTGGTACGCCCCCCCCCCACCCCCCCCACCCACACACACACACACACACACACACCTCCACATTTGGTATCTGTTTATAAATACATGTAACTCACTTTATAACAATGGCCTCACATAACTTGATAGCAACATGTGGGTTGCCCTCACACATCAGTTGCTTAGGTTCATTTAGAATCAGTGAGTTGCTGTCTGCATCATCAAACAACCTGGAAAGACAACAGATAAAAAAAATAAATCCAAAAGACCTTCACTTATCAAACACAAGACCTTGCCCTTGAGCAGTGTGTACTTTTTAATTTGATGATAACAACAGTACATCTCTTTTAATGCAACAATATTCTGTACTCTACCAGTAGTTATACACACATTTGCTATTAGAACAGAACTGTGTCCAGTGAAATAAACTGCACCAGTTAAACTGATGTCACTAGCCATGTATATAGGAGTTTACATTCCAATATCACGAAGGTCCTATGTGATCATATGGGGGTTTTATATTCCAGGATCATGGGGGTCCTGTGTTCATGTAGGGGTTTACATTCCAGAATGATGTGATCCTATGTGTTCTGGTCCTCTGGCCAACATTCAGTCAGACTTTTCCAAAGCTTCTTTTATCCCATCTTTGTCTTAATACGCACATAAATATATACATACATTTATTCATTCTTTCATTCCCACATACATGTACATAGATACATACCCTACTGGCATGAGCCTAGAAAGTAACCTCACTGCCCCTAAACTGGCAGGCCTGTCTCTGCTGCGAAGACTCTGACATACCAGTGGCAACAGACAACAATCTTTTATGAGAGACAGGCAAGTGACAGGACTTTTATCACATAAAGTCTCTAAAAAAACTAAATAGTGCAGTGGCAGATGTGAGTTTGTGTTGCTCAATTCTTTCTCAGAGTTGTTATGTAAATTTCCCACTGCAAAATTTTCTTTGATGAAATTGCAGATTGTTTTCTGTCCATCACTAAAGTGGTTCCCTATTGTATATTCTTCACGGTGAGGTGTATCACCTAGTCCATTAGCTCCCTGTGTGACTTGGTGGGTGGATTGCTTCTGGTAGCTCCATTGTGTTAGTTGAGATAAAAGCCTCCGTGCAGCACTCGCCACAAATACACTGCCATCTTGAAAACTGTTGAAACACAGCTCGACATAACCTGAAAAACAAATATTGAAGATATAAAAAATAGTCAATTGCTTTAATGTTTTCATCCCTTAATTGTATATATATTTCATTACTGTGCAATTTGTGTAATTTCTGATGCAAGCTGAGTTAAACATTTTTCTCTTCAAGTGGTATACTTCAGTGATACAGTAATACCAGTTCACTATGAGAGGTCACCACAAGTCGTTATATGCTTCAGGAGATTGCATTTCCTTTCACAAGTTCTATACAAATGTGCTTCCTGCTACTTAGTTAACTAATTGGGAGTTGGGGGGAGCTCTGTTCTGGTGACTTTTCTGCTACAGCCAGGCTATTAAGCTGTCAATCTTTCAAAGCATACATGTACATGTACAGCTTTATCGCTAGAGTATATTGTTCTTTGTGAAAAAGGACAAAATTTTGATGTAGGAGCATATTCTAGTTCATGTAAACATCGAGCAGGAGCCTACATGTCCTAATGCAAACATAAATAGAGATGTGTAAGAAGATAACTAATACCTTGTTCTAATATCCATCTGCAAGCATTACTATGGTTTGCCATTATAGCCAGGGCATGAAATACTGCATATCTTGTACTTGGTTCATTCCATGCGTCAGCTTGGTGGGCAATCTTCAGTGTTCCACCAACAAGACCATGTTCCATTAGTGCTCTGAAGCCAGTGTCTGTGGCACCAATGCAACCCATAATCTGTGTAAACAGACCAATGTTTGCAGGGGTTTCCATCTTTACTAATGACTGCAAACATCTGACCACCATTTTTGGTATTTCTTCTCCTGCAATTTCATAGAAAATATGCTGTTACAGTTCTAAACTGCATGAATCAATGTACTTACAATGTATATGTACTTCCAAAATAAAAAGTATGTGTTGAATAGTTGTAAGTGCATGTACATGTACTGTGCTCCCACTTGTACATACCTATTGTTTTTATGGCCACCATTGTTTAACCAACACAGTGGAGTCTACTTCACATACGCAATTTCACACACACCCAACAAAACAATGAAGAAAGAGATTGACTTATAGTTTTCAGGTACTTTTGCAGTACCTCCCACACCCTGTAACTCTCTGATCTTTAATGCTAATCAAAATTAAGTTATACGGTGACTTTGCTCAATGTCTCTGCTGTTCAAATAAAACCCACTAACTTCTTTTCTTTTCTTTTTTTAATTAAACCAAGTTCTTTGACTTTCGAGATTACAGCACATTTTTATCCCCAGGATAACTGCGGCTCTCATATTTTGAAGTAAAAAAGCTTCTTGTAAAAGAACATCTTAAAATTAGTTACTAAATACCAAATAGTTATATGGTGGGGAAAATTCTGCAAAAGTGCCAATTTTTGCTTCATCCCTGGCTAACCAAAGAAAATCGCTGAAATGAATGGTAAACAAGACCAAAAAGTAACTAACTAATCAGCACCTTGTGTTTGCCCTGGATTGCATTTCTTCAGGAAAATGTCAAGTATTTTCTGTTCAAATGTATCATCTTTGAGGACAAAATTTGGGTCTAAGAGCAAATCGAGGACCTTGTTTAGTTTTGTAAACTCTAACATGTTATTTGCTACACGCGTTATGCTTCACTTCCGCACAGAGTTGACTTGCGCAAAACGCTATTTCCGGTGTGTCACGTGACTTGTACAGTCGCCATCTTGAAAGAGTCTGTGACCTTAAACATTCGGCCAGCGGCGGTCTCGCTGAAAATGTTATCAAGAAGGTTTACCACCGCCTATAATTTAGCCCAGGTAATACGGCATGCGCGATTCTCATAAAAGCACTTTCAGTTGTGTACATTTTATTGTTTCATTATGATATCAGTTCATGGTTGAGAGTGCTAAGATCTTGCTAGGCTTTGTAACGCAGGTTTATGGCAGTAAGCGGCTGGTCACGTATGCCACGAACTACGACACTTAAATTAATAACTGTAATCATGAAGTACTAACTACCTACTTAAGATGTAATAGTTCATTATTTCTTTGCTGAAGCACGACGCGCAGCTGTCATCGATCGATCGGCGAATTTCAAAACCACAAGACACAAAGTTACAGTAATACTACTGTTTTAGAATTTATGAAAAACGACTAGTACAGTAATGAGATTTTCAGGATATTAGCGGATTTCTGACTTTTCATGAGCCTAAATATAATTTGTGAGATAGATGCAAAGCCCCCCCCCTCCCCCTGGACCCCACCATATTTTCAGACTTCTTTGTCAGTCTGATCCCTGCTAGGCAAAATCTGTCATATTAATTTATATGACTTGAGAACACGAAAGGTTCACAAAATATGTAAGAGCCCTTGCATCCCTATAGACAGGCTAGTTGAGAGTAATCTCACAGTGTCATGTATCCATTTCTTTTATAAATTTGAGCCAATATTAAGTGCATAAAAACATGAAGTACATGTAGGATAACACTTGGAAGTTCAGTGCTGCCACATTATAGAAGTTAGTGACAGTCTTACAAAATGTGTTATTATAACAAAAATTTCATCTTCATTAGCGTATAGTATTATAACAGTCTTTTTATACTGTTTAGACTCATTAACCTGCTAAGAAATTTATATATATATTTATATATCTATACCTTACCTCTATAACACTTTAATTCTAAAGTAACAGTTAGTATATCAGTGAAACTGTACAGGATACTGTAAAAACCAAAAGCTGCTCACTTCTAGTGTTTCTACCAGTAAAATATGCAGCCAAAGTCCAGGGAAGACTTTATAAGTAATACAAATAATTTGACTGCAACTTCATGTATTTTCCCCAGACTGTCAGTAGGGATGCGTTCCGAGTGACCAGCGTGAAGAGTAATTCGGCAGTGTCCACTGTGCAACTGGTGCTGCCATCTGGGGCCCGCTATGAGGAGAGGGACGAACTGGGCATTGGACATTTCATCAGGAGGGCAGCAGAATTAGTAAGTTACTTGTAAGACCTATCAGGTGGTTTTATTGCTGTTTTAACTTGATGTGGAAGAAATAGAAAATACATTCTGTTCTGGAGAAGTAATTTAATTTGGAGAGATCATTCATGGTGGAATATCAAAGATTTGTGTTAAGAAATGATTTATAACCTCCCTCCCCAAGAAAGTACCCAATGTCACTTTTTCCATATCAGGGATACCATGCTTTTAATGAGTTATAAACTGTTAGATCTGAGTTATGTAATTAGAGATGATATAAAACACCAAATCTAAGTGCAAAGCCAAGGAGAGTAATGATTAATGTGTTATTTTATTATTATTATTATTTATTTATTTTTTTTTTGCCAGAGCAACATCAATTTAAGTTTGAGAATCCCCTATAGGATACCTTGATATATGCTTTGATTTTTACAGTACATATTAGATAAGGAAAGAGAAATGAAGAAAAGGCAGCCTGCAGCTGTTTTCTACCTTGTGTCACCCACACTATTAATGAAGTGGATAAAATGCTTTTTTCTTTCAGTCCAATGGGCAGCGTACTGCCTTTGCAAATGCCAGAGCTTTAGGAGAAACGGGATGTTCATTTTTGTAAGTACCACATCCACACTATATTTTTATAATGGCCATAACATACCAAAATGTTCATCATTATGGAATCTCAGGAAAGAAGGACCAGTCGTTTGTTGTTGCTACTTTGTACTGAAAAATACATTCTGATTGTGTATTTGATGAACAGAAGCCAGTTGTGTAGAAATTCTTTTAGAAAATTTGAATAAAGCTTGGCATGAAATGATATACATAAATGATTTTAAGCAGACTGTTAATTAAATCTTTTGATAGTAGAAAGTACTATTTGAGTTTTTTCTCTCCCCTGGTTATATAATTAGTGTGTTGTACTGTACTCCCTAATATTCTGTTTTATTATCTAGGGTGACTGGGACAAGAGAGCATATAATTTACAGCATAGACAGTTTTCAAAATCAAGATTCTATGTAAGTAGTCAGAAAAATTGCCTTCATGATGCTTTTTTTTTTCTTAAGTCATGTCTTAAAAGTATATTTTGTGTTATAATGTTTTATGGCTACTCAGTCAAATTTAATGTAGTGTTTGGTTTAACGTTTCCCATGATGAAATTTGTTGAAATGATCTGAATCTTTTTCAGAAAAAATGCCTACGAACTGTTGTTAGCAATGACCTTCCAGCCACTGTACAATGGCTGGGACCTGGCAGCCGCACTGACTCCCATGCAGTTAGACCTGGCCATCTTGACCCATAGAAAAGACATCCGTAAGTTGGTTGTGGGCTGTTCTCTATAGCAATGGTACAAACTCTGGATCTGGTAATTGTTTCTCTCCCAAAAAGCTTGTAACATAAATTAAGATCTGTTGAAAAACATACAAGGTGGAAAACGTTTGTTTTTGCATTATAATGTCATGTTTCATATATTTTTGATACATACACTTTTTTTTTTTGAAGGAGTTATTGAACTCCTCCATCAAGCTGCTTACAAAGACACTCTTGGCCAGTCTGTGTATGCACCTGCTGAGAACTTCAGTAAATTTGGCCAACAAATGGTGAGTAACTTCAAGAGATGAAGGGAAATGTATTTATTGTCGTTGTCGATGACGTGTCTTAGGAGGAAGGTCATTAGGAGGTACAGGGGGCCCTGTATTCAAAAGATGAACAGATCACATGAGGAAGGGAAATGATCATTCGAAGTCGAGCTACGCTGCTGTACGGACATTCCAGTTTATTCCAAATAATAGTTTTTCTATTAAAACATTTGTATAAAGATAGGGTTTTCTTATGCGTTATGAAATTATCAGATTTATATAAGTGCGAGCTGTACCAGAATTGGAATTAGGATATGCGGGAGATCTAACTGGTGACGGAGCAAACGTTTGTATGTAATATTGTATCGTCTGTACACATACAGAGGCACATCGACTCATTCCCATTTATAAATAAATGATTTAATGTTTGAAGATGAAGTGGTTTTGTACATTGAGAGTTATTAGACGATAAATAATTTATATACGTTTAAGCGTAAGCGAATTAGAATATAAGTGCTTTTATTGTGTATCTGTAGATATTTGTTCTTAGTTTTTTTGTTTGAAAATTGGGAGTGCAATAACAGGACTGGTGCCATTTTGAATTTGTCCTGCTGTTAGCTGTATATGGTTACTGGTTGTGTCATTTCATTCATTTAATCTCTCTAGGCTTTGGATTTCATTCAAAGAACATTTAACAACTTTAACCTGGTGTGTGTGAACACAGAGAGAGACCTGGAGGAACAGCTGGCAGACATGACCAGTGAATTCACAGATAGTGGGGACAAAGGAACACCTCCCAAAAAGGCAGTTTATAGGGGAGGTAAGAAAACTTGCCTCCAACAAATATAGGCATTCCTGTATAACTTTGTTTTTAGTTACCAAAAGTAAATCTTAAACGCTTCAAGCTTAGGAAAAATGAGAACACTGAAAGGTAAAAAAGTGAATAGTATTTTGATATCACATATGTTTACCAGTAGTTTGATATCATTGATATTTTACAGGCACTCTAATCAACTCTTAACTAATAGTTTGATATCACTGATATTTTCCAGGCACTCTAATCAACTCTAAACCAATAGTTTGATATCATTGGTATTTTCCAGGCACTCTAATCAACTCTTAACCAATAGTTTGATATCACTGATATTTTCCAGGCACTCTAATGAATTCTGTGGTAGGAGATCATGCTTATGCAGCAGTAGCAGTAGAGGGTGCCAGGTAAGACTGATGAGGTCACTACTTCATATCTCAACTCTTCCACTTTATTTTCTACTTTACACAGACACAAATGTGAGGAGAAATTTCTCATGATAATTAAACAAAACGGGCATCAGAAAATCATTATGAAGAATAGTCACAGTAAGATAATAAGGAATTTTGGATAGGCTGCATCATTTGTCAAATATAGGTTAACACACTCCGTGCCTCCGTGATTGAAAGAAAAGTATGGAAATTTCAAAGAAAACTTTTTATCAGTGTAGAAATTATGCAACTTGACTTAAAAATTGTGCAAATCCTGAAATTGTTTCAACTTGAAGGAAGAAGCTATAACAGCATGCTTCAATTCCAGCATTGGCAGCAAGGAAGCGCTACCATTGGGTGTCCTGCAGAAGATCTTGTATAGAGAGCCTGCCATGAAGTACACAAGCCCTGGAGGCAGGCTTCCCTCAGCCATTGCTAAGGCAGTGAATGACAACTTTATGGTAACTATATTCTGTAAATAACATATCAAAAAGAAAGAAAGAAAGAAAAGAAAAGGAAAAAAAACTTGTGGAACATTTGCAGATTGAGTGCCTGTTTTAATACAGCTGAAAATCTGGATATTATTTAGAATTTGAAAGAAAGGATTGTATACAATCATTGTGATGTTTTATTTTTTCAGTGTGGTAATCTGAACTTCAATTACTCAGATTCAGGGCTGTTTGGGTTTAGTGTAGTAGCCAATGCCGAGGATGCTGGAGTAGTAAGTATACACTTCTCTCTATCTGATAAGTTATCTTGTTGAAAGAGCGCCACCTGTGGATAACATGGATGTAGTTAGAAGGAAAATAAGTCAGATGATACCAGGGGAGAGCACAGGGGTGGTAGACAAAAAACAAGTTTAACAGATAACAATTCCTTGTACGAGATCCATGTGTCACAGTAAATACAATGTAACCAACTCGTAAAGATATATTATAAATTCTATTTTACCACCTAAACAGTGGTTATCACAATTATTCTGGAATCTGTGCTTGCCATCAGACCACATAACCTCCATAGATGGAGATAGCTACTCTCTGTAATCATCTCTTAATAGATTATTACAAAAAATCAAAATTTTTAGGAAAGAAAAAAAAACAAGGACAAACTTTGAATGCAGGATTGGATTCTATTGGTTAGTTTTGGGGGAAAAGTCGCTTACTCCAGGAAAACCCATTTTTGGGCCGAAATGAACAGTTGTCATCCCTGTAATCTCTTGGCATGTCTCTATATGAGTGGCAGTTTCAGCATTGTCCATTTCTTCCAGGTGTTAGAGGCTGCTGCAGCAGAAATGAAGTCTCTCTGTTCTAAAGGAGCCAGTAGTGAAGAGGTAGCAAGAGCAAAGTAAGTGAAGATAAGATTTGGAATACTAAAGGCCCATTCCCTATGTTCTACATTCCCTACTGTTGTTCTACATAGATTAAAGGGATAATAACTCTTCGTATGAGATCTATATTTCTCAATAAAAACCTTGTGAATAACTCACAGAAATTCTGTTTTACCACAAAAACGGCAGTTATAGCTATTATTCTGATATCTGAGCTTGTCTTTAGACCACGTGACCTCCATTGATGGCTATACTCTGTTAAAATCTCTTAAGAGATTTTAACAAAAAACCAAACTTTTTAGAAAAAAACCAGGGACTAACTTTGAATGTAAAAATGGATTCATTAACCATTGGTAAGTATGGGAAAATTGTTGTTCACTCCAGGAAAATTCATTTTTTGGCCGAAACGAAGAGTTATTATCCCTTTAATCCACGGAGACTCTCACTGAAAGCAATGAGATTAATGGATTTTCAAGACAGCTCCTGGGGTTGAGAAGAATACAGGAAAGCTGGTGATTATACAAATACATTGCAAACAGAAAAACAAGAAACAAGAGGAGTTCTGTTAATCTGATTGCATTCAGCGAGAGTCCTTGTAGGGTTAGAGCACTCTACGTAGAATGATAAATTTATAGGAAACGAGACCTGAGAGATTGCAAATGAAGTGGTATGTGGTGTCTGAAACTATTTCCTTCCTACTGTCTTCTTCACACAAATATTTGAATGCAACATGTATAAATGATAACATGTGCAGCTGCATTAAATAATTTTTATGAAATATTTGAAAAGATGTATCTGAAGCTTAGGTGTAACCTGTAAAAAGCATGTTAACAAGAAAAGTGGGTTATTTCAGAGCAAGCCTAAAGATGGACACTATTATTAAGCAAGAGAACGCCAGAAGTTTTGCAACCATGGTCACAGATCATGCAGAAAATAACCTACCTGCTCCAACACTGCAAGGTGCCCTAGAAGCCATTGATAAAGTCACTGTAGAACAAGTCAATGAGGTATGTGTTTTTTGATGACCAGAAACTTTGTGAAAAAATACCCATTTTATTATGAAACCTTTTTTCATTTCTGTTGGTGCTTGGAAAATATATAGTAATATGATTGAATTTCATCAGGCCTCTAAGACATCAATGGGTGAACTCCAGTTTGTGAATTTTATCAAGAAATTTGCTGTGGAACTCCACATTAAAATTATTGCTTTTTTATTTTAAATTTCAGACTGCAAAGTCCCTATTGAAAAGAAAACCCACACTAGCGGCAGTTGGCAACACGATAACTGTTCCATTTGTAGACGACTTATTTTGATGTATTTATCTTGTAACAAATTGGACCAATTATAAAATCTGGCTTCTTAAACCACACAAGACATTGTACTATTTGTTTGGAAGACCAGGATGCCTCAAAGTTACATTTTGTTTGGTTTGACAAGAGTCCATTGGACACATTCAGTGTGAACTGGTTTTTAGAGCAGTAGGGTTGATATTATACAAAATAAAACTTAAGTGATAAAAATGTTTGTTTTAATTATCAGTGGATCTGTTGCTACTGTACAATGTGCATATTTTCAATGTACCCTATAAACATAGGTACTCATTAAAATGTATTAACCTGATATTACATGCTCCAGTCAGAAAGGCTAATACAAGGCAAAATTTGTTTAGAGAGAACACTAGGGTTTTACAGTTTTAATGATAATTTTAGATCTGGGTATTGATATGATCACTTGACTTGAAAATGTTCTACACTGTACACTGACAATTATTCACTTATTAAAAAAACTTAAGTTAACACCTCTGCACATTTGCAGTTTATATGCAAATTTTTTTAAATTCATTTCAATGAAACTGATTCATTATGTGCATGGCTGCTGACACAAATTAATAAGCTATCACAATGTTATAGTTATGAAATGCTGTGTTAATATTTTCACATAATGACATTCCTATCCTAATTTCATGAAATTCTTGACTTACATCTTTGAACTGAAGGTTGAAAAAATATTGAGAAAGCTTAACCTTGCAGCTAATATAAAAGTTTATCTAAAAAAAAAAAAAAAAAAAAAAAAAAAAAAAAAACAGTACAGCATTATAATGTTATGATAAAAACCAGCTTTATAATGTTATGATAAAAACCACAGCATTAAGAATGACAGGAATATCATAAACTTAGGACAGGTATCATCTTGGTGGAGGTCCTGGTCTGGGACCTCCACGCCCCCTGGGGACAAACCCTCCCCTGGTGGTCCCCCCTCTCCCCCTCCATCCTGGCTCACCTCTACCCCTTGAAGGCCCCCCACCCCTGGACATCCCCCCTCTCACCATGCCTCCCCTGGGTGGGGCCTGACCACCCCCAGCCTTTGCTTTAGGTGTGGGAGACTTGGGCCTCAGTCTGTCTATCTCCTCTGAACAGCCAGTCAAGTGGCCATTGGGCTCTTTGTTGAAATAACTGTTGTAAAGTTCTGCATCAAAGTTACTGCTGGAGACATCTGGGCCTATGGTAAGCCAGCCTGGACGTATAGTGCTGTCTCTGCCAAAGACGTGGATACGCCGTCTCCCCATACAGAAGTGTTCCATCATGTGGAAGATCTCCACAGGTTTCTCCTTGCTGCCATACTCGGGTTCCTCATCAATGATTAGGTCAATGTCCACATTGGCGTGGATGAAGTCTCCATCAGTGCTGCGGCGAACTGTACCTTTGATTCCCATCAGGCAGTGCTCCTGAGAATGACAAACAATATGGAGGCTTTAAGTACTTTGTAGACATTAAGTACTTTATAGAGACATGAAGTACCACAGTAGATGTCAAGAAAAAGAGACCCAAATGTGGTGTATCTCGTACATACAGTGTTACACTAATTAATCTTAACCATCTTTACCATAGGACCAGATGACGTTCTTTAAAAACAACTTTCATATTGAAAGTAACTTGTGAAAATTTACTGAAGTTTTATAAAACTAGAAACTACAAAGTTTTATAAAACTTTTATAATTTAATTCAAGTTATACAAAACTTTGTAATTTCTAGTTAAAACAGCCCGATTCTGATGAATGCATCATGTACCTTTGTTCTTTGAAATATTGCTTTTGGTTCCAAATTCTTGTTGTGTCCAGGATTTTTAATGTTGGTCTTAATCCAGCAGATGTCCTCGCAGCGACGGAAACCCCACTTTCTGAGACACTGGCAAGTATAATGGAAAGTATGTCACCTTGAATAAATGTCAACATAAGTGATCTTGTTTCATACTGAATAACATTAACTAAGATCACACAGAACTTGAATCATTTTTATGATGGACTGTTCACCATCACTTAAACGTCGAGTTCTAGGGACCATGCCCAGACCTATTGTACTAACTGTGGATCAATCTATCTCATAGGGGATTCTCACAAAATTGCTATAAACTTAAGCAGCTTAAATGTCTGTCATGGCTACTGAAGCCGCTAGGGGATAATTGATTATCATTTAGCAGTTCAGTAGGCATGCAAGACATCTTAGCCGCATAAGCTGAAAGCAATTTAAGGAGAAAGCCTTGGAGATGGATCAATCCTGTTAGATAAATCTAGGCATGGAAACCCAGACCTAGTGACCTATCTTACCCTTCTTCCTGCATCTAATCCTTCACTGGATCCCACCCACATCCAGATGAACGACCTCTGTGCTGATATCTTCTCTATCTCTAGACTCTCAATCTGAAATAACAATGAGAAACTTCACTGTATTACCGTTTTGATACTATGTGTTGAACAGTAGGGATTTCATCTGACAATGTATCCTTGATGGCCTTCACTATTTCACAGAAAAATGACATTTTTCAAATTATTACTTTCACTTGGGTTTCACAAAAAGTGATTAATTTTCTGGGAATGTATCAAAGGCCTTTTGTACACTGAGCTGTACAGTCTAATGTATGCCACCAAAATGACAGACTGACAACTAAGTAGCCTGGTTTTTACATGAAGCCACCTACAAGAATCCCCATATGCTCAACGTAACCAGGCTAATTTTGTTTAGTAAACTGAGGCTTATGATTGGTGCGTTACAGAAAACTGTGTGAAAAGCGTTAAATGCTCCACCTCCTGCCACGTCCAGTACTTGTCAAAGACTACGCCGTGTGTTCTCTGGTACTCCTCCAGTGGGGGTTCCACGTAGATCACATCAAACTTACAGTCCAAGTCACCAAGGTAGAGTGACTCCAGGTCTGTGTTCATATACCTTAACATACAGGAATTTCTATTATATTATAGTTATAGTCAGGAGCAGAGGGCATGTTATGTAAGTGGTATTGCACAGTACAGGCATTTACTACCACATCAAATGTTCACTGGAAATGAAAAAAAAAATTAATAATCTAATTATATGTAGTTTTTCCAGTGACATATGTTTATATCACACACTTTTACTGCATAATTATGAAATTGCCAAGTTTATCTGAACTTCAGTAATTTCAGTTTCCTCAAACCTACATGGGAGGTGTGGCAGTGGACGCAATGAGCTCATCCTTCAGTCGTATCAGCTCCCTCAGCTTTGGGTACTCTTCAAACCGATTCGCTAGACCTGAATTTTTAAAAGTTTCTTTTATGGCTTACATTTGCAAAATTGAAAATTTTATAATATCATATTTAACTAAAATTATCACACAATAACAAAACATAAAATGATTATCTGACAGAAGCTTTTTATTCCATCCTCTTTCTTTGGAAGAAGCATATTTCCCAATGAGATTCAATTTCAACTTTAAACAAGGCAGCAAAGCTGTCAAATGTACAGACAAAAAACAGGATATAACTATGCACAAAATAGGCTACTATCAATTCTGATGCAAAAGTACATTATGTTAAACTGCAAATTCAACATCAAATTTTAATTATGCTCAACAGGTAATACCAATGTAAGTAACAAGCATAAGGCTTCAGGCCCATGGCAGTTCANAAAAAAATGAATGCCCAAATACTGCTTAAATGTGGGAACCAAACAATTAGGATTCACACTAATAGAAAACAAATCACATCTTACCCACATCTCTGATAAAGTTTTGTGGTCTCTCCCCTGTGTCCACATGATGCTGACAGTAATCATTGTGAGGGTTAGCACTCTGAGTCCCCTTAAAAACAATGGATAATTGTGATATTAATCTGTGTTCAGTTATAATAATAATAATAATAATAATAATAAATTTATTTTGAGTCTAAAATCCACTATAACATGTTCAGAAGACTTTACATATACATAAAACGATTACCTAAGAAATCAATTTTTAGGAACAGATAAATGAAAAATTAGAGCTTTACGACATACAGATTCTCACATAAAAGCACTTACAGTAAATAACTAAAATATGTTTGCTAAGAAAAAATAATCAATTCTTGATAAAAAAAAAAAAAAACAAATAAAAAATAACAATAAATTACAACTGGTTGGTGGGAAATTATCATCATACAGACAACTTTATTTCTCAGGAGGAGGCAGAGTGAAGGTATGACCAAACATTTCATAGAACACAGAGAATGGTAAACCAATACCCCTTGTTTTCCTGTCTTTACTTTTTAAAAATTCATGCTAAAAGTAGTCTCTGTAATGCTGATTTTCCTGCCTCCACAACAAAACAAGACATCTACTAGAAAACAACGGGTGAAAACCAGAACATACCTTCAGAAAAGTGCTGGAACCTGTATAAATTTCTTCATATTCTTCTTCTCCCTGTTTAAAAACATCCCATTCAAACTGTGAAAATCTTATCAATAAAATGAATATCATGATCGAACCATTTTTGTCTGCAAACAATGTTTTTAAAAATATTATTTATCAAAAAAAATGTTTTTTTACCAACTTGATCTACTCATTAAAAGATGAACATTTGTTTAGATATCTTCACTTACGACTTGTTGAGGATAAGTGGTCCTGTAAGTTTGAGTCTGGTACATAACTGGTATGCTCAATAGTGTCTTTGGGGCTACATTTCTACAAACTCAGAAAATAAATATATATCTTCAGCCATAGTTACCTCTTTCTCCTGTTCTTGAACTGGCAAACTCTCTGGTTCTTTTCCTAAAGGAAAGTTGGATTTCCCTGCTGCATTGCCATCTGGGAGTGCAGGACTGAAACAGGAAGATTGCAAGCTTCAGATTCCACTATTTTCAGGGGTAATACAGACACCTCTCTCACGTACTGTTCTGCAGTGATGCAGAAACTATTTGGCAATTTGATGATATTCTTAAATCCCATCTATATACAGAGACAAATGACAGACACATTCTTTTGCAGATTTCTTTAAATAATATGGGAATATACTGGGTATTTCATTACAATGTTCATTATTCAAATTCTTTCATACAATTACTTCTTTCAAAATGTGCACATTTTGTTTCATAGCGTTTATAAGGGCACTTATCACATATATTTCAATATTATTATAAGAAAAATATGAGCATCCTATCGTGGAATCCATCTCTTTACTGACCCTTTTCTCTACTAAATAAAAAAATATGCAATAGATCCATATATTGTCAAATACGTTGGTAACCATTATAATACCTTTCTATTCTACTTTCTTCTTTGTACTCTTCCTTGCTGCCTAGAACTGTGCTTAGCTGTTTGGTGCTTGTAACTCCCAGCTGAAATACAACAATAAATGGCGTGTGGATCTGAACAGATTTCAGTGGCGTTTAAGTGTCCAACTTTAGCCAAACCAGAATTTTGATTAGTTTAAATAAATCACCCGGTCCATTTCTAAGTCAGAACCACTGTGCACATGAACAGATAAATTTCTGTGTTAATTGCCAAGTAAATTCATCGTGCCCGTGCAGTGAATGTGATTTGTAAAGGCGGTTGACAAAAAAACTTCTACCACAAATAAACTATATTTCACGAACAGAACTACTGGGACTGTCAAGATACAAACACTTTATTGTTCAGAGCATTAAAACCTACCTGTTGGGCGAGAAGCTGTCGCCTTTTCTGCGAACGTTCGCGCCGGTGTTTCAAGGAGCTCTCCATCCTTGGTCGACGTACCCACTTGTAGCTGTCGCACCCAGCATCCTGGCTCATATATACATATTAATAAGAGATTGTATGTTTGATACATTTCAAATTTAAAATCAAACGAACAAACATTTTCTTGCATTTTTGATATCTTGGTCGATGCCATACAAGATACACGGTACACTTTATCACATTTTACGACAAACAGCTGTGGGTACCTAATTCACAATGCCGAGGTTAACGGAGCTTAATTTTGTCAGCAGAGTCCGTAGACATATCAAACATCCTTATCAACATAAACGCCAAAAGATATTAGCGACCGGTGATGATGTAAAACAAGTTAATGAAATATCAGAAAAACAGATTAAAAAAGGTAAGTATACAAAAGAAATGTGCAGTTTGATAAGAATACTAAATACATTCTCCAACTTGGAAGTTGGATAGCAGCAGTTTCGCCGTGTAGTGATTCAGATTCAGATTCTTTATTGATAAACACCTTCACATGCAATGATGCAAGGTACAATTAATGACGGCACTGTTAACTATAACATAGCACAAACAAATAAGTAACTATATTAGTGATTATAATGTTTATATAAATGGCTATGCAAATGGATGCGTGTGACGCCTTTCATAATCAATTAACCAGGCTTGATCTACATACCCTGTCTCTGCTGACTAGTTGTGATAATGTTCAAGTTTTCTGTAGTCTCTTTTTGTAAAAAAAAAAAAAAAAAAAAAAAAAAAAGTGAAGCTGGCATAACCTCCTATTTGAAATTCTTTTTGAACCTGGAGTTTCAGTTAAAAGGTACAAAGTATTTCATTGCATGCTTGCTAAGACTCCTCTTCATTTTTTTCTTTTAAATATGGAACAGCAACCAAACCACTGGACCTGGTTACATTCAGTAGCAACCAAGTGAAAAAAGTTACTGTCAATCCCTGGAACCCACTTTAATGATAACATTCTTATCATTATTAGCATGCAGGCCCATAGCCAGCAAAAAAAAAAAAAAAATACAGCTATGTCTTTGTGTAATGGATTTGCTGGGCCCAGTTTCATCTACACTGGATAGCGCTATCCTTTGGCTAACACTTCACTGCATGAAATTGTTATCCTCTGGACAGTTATCCTGCTGATCGGCCATTTAAAATCATTCAGTAGCAATATCAGAGCCAAAAATAGTATCTAAAGATTAGAAATCATTATTTTACCCACAGAATAATGGTTTGAAGCTGCTACAATAGAATCTGTTTATGCTTTGGGTCTTCTACATCACATTTGAAAGAATAATTTCATGTCTTATTCATCACAATTTAAAGACTAAATCAATCTGACTGTTGATGTTTTCTGTCTTAATCACAGTTGAAAGACTTCATCTGATTGGTGATTTTTCCTGTATTTTTTGTTACATTTTAAAGACAAAATCTGATTGGTGTTGTTTTCTGTCTTTTTTGCCTGATTGGAGTTTTTTTTTATGTAGTCTCCATTACATTTTAAAATTCTCCAGGGAGGCCCTGCCTAAGGGAGCTGACGGACATGCTAGATTGCTGGAAACTGCACGACTTTTCTGATAGTCCCTGTCAGAAAGTCATCTTTGCATACAGTGATTGTATCAAAGTAGAAAAGGTAAGTTGAACAACCTTACATAAAAATGAAGAGTGGCCAGTTTGAGTGTGTGTGTGTGTGTGTGTGTTACAGTGTGTGTGTGTGTTACAGTGTGTGTATGTGTGTGTGTGTGTGTTACAGTGGGTGTGTGTATGTGTGTTACAGTGTGTGTGTTACAGTGTGTGTATGTGTGTGTGTTACAGTGTGTGTGTATTACAGTGTGTGTGTGTTAGTGTGTGTGTGTGTGTGTTACAGTGTGTATGTGTGTGTGTTACAGTGTGTGTGTGTGTATTACAGTGTGTTACGGTGGGTGGGTGGGTGGGTGTTACAGTGGGTGTATGTGGGTGTTTGTGTGTTACACTGGGTGGGTGGGTGTTACACTGGGTGTGTGTATGTGGGTGGGTGTGTTACAGTGGGTGGGTGGGTGTTACAGTGGGTGGGTGTGTTACAGTGGGTGGGTGTGTCTGTGTGTGTGTGTTACAGTATGTGTGTGTGTGTTACAGTATGTGTGTGTGTGTTACAGTATGTGTGTGTGTGTGTTACAGTGGGTGGGTGGGTGTTACAGTGTATGTGTGTTACAGTGTGTATGTGGGTGTGTGTTATGTACAGTGTGTGTCACTGTGTGTGTATGTGTGTGTGCATGTGCATCTCGGTGTGTGTGTGTGCGCGCATGCATCTCGGTGAGTGTGTTACAGTGTGTTTGTGCATGTCTGTACTGTAGGTATGTGTGTGTCACTGTGTATGTGTGTGTGCATGTGCGTCTCGGTGTGTGTATGTATGTGTCACTGTGTGTGTGTTTGTGTGTGTATGTGTGTATAGAGACAAAGTGCTTGTGAATATTCTAATAACTGGCTGGGGTAACGCTAGCAATTTTTTTTTGCTTAGCCAAATCACCACATTTTTGTCAATTTGTTATCAAAATGGTTACAATTTGGCTAAAACAAGTCAGCACTACCCCAGACTGGGGTGTGTTCATATTAGCACCAGGTATGTTTTAAACATTTGCCTGATAGTTTGTACCTCTTTTAAAATACTTTGAGGATTTGAACCCTGTCATGATTGAAAAATCAGCACTATTGTACCATTTTAACAGAAGTTATTGGACTTTTTTTTTTACATATTTTTAGATATATTATTTCTTCCATTGTTCCTGTTCTCATTTTTGTTTTATTTAAAATTCATTAAGAAACGCTGATTTGGTTGGAGGTTTTATGGTGTAAAGTGAAGGTCAAGTTCAAATATATACCTACAATTTCTCCATCCCTGTCTCAATCCTGATGTGACAGTATCTCATCCAGTGTCTTCTCTAACACAATCCAATATTGATACTATTAGGGCCAGTGTCACTAACAAAATGGACTGGGTTATGTGTGGGATATCTGACCCTTGTTGATAAACATATTTGAGTATACAAGAGATGCAGATCAATGCAGTGATGTTTATTAATGATATAAATACAAGAAACTGAATATGGAAACTGCAGACACAATACATCTAAGAAGTCCAGAAAAGCACCAAATTACTTGAATTTGTGACAAGAAAAAAATTGCTCTGAATGTGTTGCAACATTGGCTTCAGTAATTTTTTTCTAGAGTCTGTTTCACAAAATGTTCTGTGTCAAAATCGAAGCCAACACTTGGTAGATTTTTTGCTGAGTAAGATGGGTCTTTTAGTCTTCTTACCTTTCTTTTTGGCCCATTTACAAAACTCCTGAATCAAATTGTGACATTGATATTGATTTTTAGTTGCTGTCCACATCACATGGCCATGTGTCGTGTTATGAGCATGTTCACTTTGGTGAAATGTCACTTAGCTGACATCTTACCCTATCAGGAACAATGTTACAATACTCTCATGGACACATGGACACATCTTACCCTATCAGGAACAATGTTACAATACTCTCATGGACACATGGACACATCTTACCCTATCAGGAACAGTGTAACAAGTGTGTATTTAGCCTGACCCTTGACCATTCACTGTCCACTGGGCTTTTATTTCTTCTTTTGGAAAAAATCACATTGGTGTGGTTTCCATATTTATATTGATGGCTTCTTTTTTAATTTCAGGCAAGATTGAAAGAAGAAGAAAAAGCTGCCAAAGCCAGTTTTGTTCCCGAAGGAAGGAAACCAAGCCCTTTTCAAATAAACAGATTATTAAAGAGATATTCATAGCATTTAATTATTAGTCAAGTACATTCTCCTCTCTACATTTTGCTATGTACATGTAAATATTCATTTCCTCCCTCTTTTTACCAAGCATTGTTCTGCTTCCCTGAAGTACTATTTGAATCTAGTTGAGCTGCTCCAATTAAGAAATTGGTCATCACCAGCTAAAGGGCAAGCTTGCATTGATTGTCAGTATCAGCTTGATTAAAATTCCCAAGATCTTGTGATGAAGTCAGGATATGTCCTATTTTTGGTTTTAATCTATCACTGTAAGATAGGTGATAACAGAGTTAACTAAGAACCCAGTTTCCTAAGAAGGCATCTAAGAAACTAGGAAAGTTTGAATTATCTTGAACTCCAAAATAATTAATTTAGATGGACTTACAAATTTGATTTTCATCGGCATTTTGTTTCAATTTGTCTGTGTGACAAGTTTGAATTATAGCATTTAGTTAGTGGCTCCCATATTACCAGACAGTTAATTTGATATCCAGCACCACCCCGGGGGTTTTAGGTGCCCCACCCTGGGGCACAGCAGGCACTGCAGGGGGGCACTAGGAGTGCACAGGCTTCAAATATTTTGGTGATTGTCTCTTCACTGTAACTGTGAAATACTTTCATTATATTGTTCAAAAGAGTTGCAGAGAAACAGGGCTAGCATTTAAAAGTCTTAAAGAAAGAGAATGATACGAATATGTTGTTAAGATGGAAGGACGATAAAGCCATGGCAAGGACAAGGGGGCAGCTCTGTTGCTTGAAGGGGTGGTGGTGAAATCGTAAAGCAATACGGGATATTATGCAACATGCCAGTGACATTGAGGAAACAATTAAAACGACCAGTGCTGACTTCCTGCCTCCATAGTGCTGGCTAAGCAAGGCACATCTGCGGTCTAAGGAGGTGAGAGTCTCCACAATAAACAGAAAACTTTCAGAACAAGACAAGCGAACCAGCACCTGTGTGATGAGGAGGTTTACTGTTGTTTTTCCATTTATCTATAGTGACATACATGAATATATACACACAAGACATAAATAGACCATTTCAACTTCATAAAGCCATGAAGAATTTTTTCTTTTGTGGTTGAGACTCGGTGTTTATAGAGGCTGCCATACCAGAGGTTATGTACTGTGGTTAATTGCTCTTAAATCTTGACATCTGCTAAGTAGTTAACTTACCAGGCAATACATTTTATGCTTTTACAGTAAACCAATACTATATCTAATGCTGTGTCAGTAGGCACTCCCTCCCCCCCACCCCCTCCCAGCCAGATTGGTATTTGAAAATGTGCCTCTAGCTTTGCATTACATTAAAGATTTGTTTTGACCCAGGTGTACTGATACATAGCATGATTCATCATCACATGTTTAGATAATGAACTTCAAAATAAAATGGTTATACTGTTATGTAGCATTGTAGTATGTTTTTAATGTATTACCATGAGGTCGGGAGTCAATGGCCGTGTCTTGGGTCCTATGAAGCCATTCAGAATAGAAGATCAGAGTATCAACTGATCCAAGGCTCAAGTCCGCGTCGGAGTCGAGATTTAATTTCTGCCCGCTGCAGGGGCAATACATGGGGAGATGTGCAAGAGGCGGAGAGACCATTACAGGATTAAGCAGTTTTCCTTTCATGTAGGTCCGCCATATTTAAGCCGTGGACCAGTTAGCACTCGGATCTTCTCATTCTGAATGGAGCCTACGACTACATAACTCTATATGAAGCATTGTTCAACCACCTGTTAGCAGTAATTAGAACTGAAGAATATATATATGTTGACGTCGCCTGTTGTACTCCTTTCTCCACTTCTTTGTGAATCATATTTCCCTGGCAGAGAAGTATCGCTGTTCACCTTTGGCTTAACAAAATATATTTAAGTGTAAAAAGTCTGTGAGTACTTGGAAATAAAACGCAACTTAATTTTTTTCATGAAATTGGTCATTTTACAATGCACGGGAAATCTAGTTGACTGAAGACGAGTTTGCCGTCGTGAAGAGTGGACTTTAACAGACATTTTTTAACGATGAAAAATTTCAAAAGAAAAGTTTATGTCGCAGTTCTTTGTGTTGTATATACCTTGGCATTAGAATTGTATTAATGTTTACGTTGTTAGAACAGTATCTTTGATTGTGTTAGTTGAGATTATAGGGACATTTACTCTAATAAGACGGCACTATCAACTGACGCACCCAATTTGACAAGGTTTTTGACTAAATGGAATTAGATAAAGTGTTTTTTAAAGGATTTTTTAAAGTGATTTTTAAGGTGACTGGGAGTGGAGTAAATTATTACCCAACGTCCTGACAACTGGACGCAAATGAATTTGGTAATTAATCTTTACATAGAAGAATTCGCTACAAACTCTAAATCTACTTCTGGCGTAATTGATAAGAAATCGTATATGTCCAGTTTTAAGGTAGATTTTCCATTTTATCTGTGTTTCAAAAATAAGACATCGTGAGAAAGGATTGAATTCCAAACTAAATTTTGGTTCGACGTTTTGAGAAGGGAGAGGCTGCCACTCTTCCACTTTAACAGCTTGATTTCTTCGGTGTAGGGGTGGAGAAGAAAGCGATGATGGACATTTTGTAAATGAACATAATCTTAACGTCTAAAATTTAAAATCTCGTGCTCGTGTATCGTGTAAATAATAAACACACTGTATTAATGAACGGGTGTCAACAGTTGCCTAATATGAAAGGTCACCGAGTATTGCCCTTTTGTCCACACCTGTAACATGACATTCCGTGGCACAAAATGGGCCAGTAATAATCTATTATTTATTTTTGTCGTTACTTCTGTGTGAATAAACAAAGCAAACGTGTGCACGTTTGTTGCTGCGTTTCACAGCATCTAGCTCGAATTTGGAAACAAACCAACAAACAAGGTGACAAATGTACGCAATGAGAACATTTATTAATCGTAACATTACATTGCTTCAACAATTGTAATTATCCATTAATTGTTTAGAATCATAACAAGGGTTTGGCCTGTACACTATACACATATTACTATACACTGGTCACCTGGATGTACATACATCTATCACTATACACTGGTCACCTGCATATACATACAAACGGCACCTGATGAACGCGGGGAGGGGGCACCTGGCGTGAAGTTATGAATTTGATGAAGATATTTTCAAAATGCAAGTTTAAAATTACGCCAGATGCTAAGTCAATGGAGAAAAAGAAAAAAATGAAAGAAAGAACAAATGAAAAAACAATACTTCCCAGGAAGTGGAACTGTACATCTGGTGGTGTATTAAAAGAAACAGATTCGCAAGATATGAGTTAGATAAAAAAATTAAAATTAAGTTAAAAGTATGTTCGCAACGGTACTTTAACTACGTCAGTCGCCGCATTAAAATACTTTCTAACAAGTGGAACTAGAAATTTTGTAGTGTCTTTGCACAAATAGACCCTAATATCATCAGTTTCTGAGATGGCGCTGTGTCTGCCATTGCGTTCTTTTACTGTTGCACATTTTATTTCTAGGTAGATAATATTTAATTGCACAAGATCACTTTGCCTGGACGTAAATACAGTCTGAGTACTCGCCCGGCTGACAAAAAGATTTAATTTTACGTATAATACGTTCAACAAACTTCAGCAACTTTGAACTGTTGAGGCGGATTCTTGCCACAAGATAGGGCGCTTTAATTTCCCCACAATTCTCCCTGCATTTTAGAAACTGAACATGTGTTAATAAATCCTCAAATTAAGGAAAGTGATAGCAAGCGTTCTGGCTTATAAATTTCTAATGTTTTTTTTTTCTTTCTACAAATAACTCGCCTTTTGTACCTTTCTTTTCCACTGTAGTCTAAATATTGTTAGATAGATAACCTTGTTAGAGCTCGTTCAACAGACTGAACATACATGCAAAAAAGAACGCTAAATATAATAATAAAATTATTGGCGCTTTTTTCGTAATTATGTTGGAAAATAATAAAAAGGATGTAAAAAAATACGTGAAACAGACTGTCGTCGCCAGACGTTTTGTGTCAATACATTAACGTGATTGAAAACTTTTGATATCACACTGCTTTTTATCTCAAGTAAGTCAATAACTGAAATTAATTAGGAAGTCAAGTCATTATCTGCACAGCATTAAAAGAAATTTGTGGTCAAGTCGTCGTTACATGTTTGACATGCTTCATTTCTCTGTCTCCTCCGACAGCCGCGCCGTCGCGTGATATTTCTGTGTCCCAGATTTACACCGGAAATAATTTACATCTATATTTACACACTTTATACACATTATATGCAGTTTAATTATATGGCTGGTTAATGAAGTCACTTTTTACCTTTGAAGTGAGTGATGCAAGTTGCAGCACAGCTGGCCAGGGCAATACGGCAGCTGCCGAAATTTGCGGGCGGACCTGACCTCTGTCACGTGACTGGGAGTGCTCCCCAGACGACAGCTTGGGCAGACGATACCAACCCAGCGCTTCCGTCGTTATCGTTAATAATACTGATATAACATCCGCCAACATGTTCCTCCCCCGCCCACGGCTTGTTTCAGTTGGGTTCATCTTTGTTGTGTTTTGTATTGACTAGTTCATCCCTAACTACATGAACACATAGAATGCCACCGCAAACCCGCTCAACTTTGGAACACTTGTCGTCATTGAAAGGTTGTTAAAAGATCATCTGATTTTCTGTAAGCGAAAAAACTATCCTTGTGTCTCCCGGTGTCCATGGGTCATTACTTCCATTGTCGGCAATCTCAAGGTTGCCTGTAAACGATTTGTACTCCCATTCGTTGTCTTCTTAACCGGAAAATCAAAAAAGAGTTTCTTTTTAAAAAGTCACTGACATTAAAATCATAGGAAACGAGTCAATGATTATAAAGAAAGCAATGTTTCTCCTTCTGGCTGGCAATAAGCGACAAGTGCAACAGTATTACGGGGCGAATGGTGTATTTATCGGCATAGAACTGAAATATGTGGTAATTGTGGGCGGCCAGAGGGGGTTACTTTCTCAGCCTGCTGGCGTTCTCGGCGAGTGGGAGCGGTGGCCAGCCCACAGCGTGCCCCAGGTAGATACTGAACACTATTAATGACATCCACAACTGGCCGCCACCATGTCATCGTACTGCTTCAAGATCACGTTTTCGTGATCGTCAAAGTATAATAAACTGATAGAGTAGAGTTTATTTGGCACACAACACGGCGCACCGACGTCTTTGGCCACTTTTAACGCGTGGACTATACTCTGCACTGTAGCATGGTTTGTAGGTTTTTGATTCTGCCCGAGAGGGAAGGGGCATTCACCTTTACAATGATATGCATTGTACCCTTTGGGGGATATAATCCACCCCGACCACCCGATCGCCTCGAAGTCCACGTACAGCTCGTGGCGGTCGCAAGAGTCTGTCTGTTTTCTGCGGCGTCTGAAGCCATAGTAATTCTGAGCAGCTCTTTTACTACGACCTGATGAAGTTTCTGGGTCTCCTTGCCTTTGTGTGTCTTCGGAGTCTGTTGACGATGTGTTGTCAGCTCCGAATGAATGAAAGCGTTCGTTCAGATATTGGATGGCTGCGTAGTTTTTCTGAAAGCGGCCGTCGGGTCGCCTGTGGTAAAAAGTGTATTCGTTCTGCCGCGACCCTTGTAAAAAATCTGAAAGTGAAAAAATACCCATGTTTTACTCTGCAAACGATTTTCAATACAAGTGCTTAACATGGATTCTTGATGGGTTTCTTATTTAAGGCTGACGTACTGATCTATCATTCTACATTAACCTAAAGTAAGCGTCCTAGCAAGTGCCACGCCCCTTTCTCTCCCCATTTCCCGGAGATAAATTAACTGGATACAGCACTTACATTAAACACCAAGTAGTTCAGATATAACAGTTCTAACCGTTATATAGATACACTCTGTCGATACATGGTTTTTATATCCTTAGTGTTACGTTTTCAGTTTGCATACCTAGGTCCACATGAACACAAGGTATCTGCTTGTATATAACCTCTTAGTTTTAAAGATGCATATCAAATTTTTAAATTATTTTCGCTAAACCCGACCAAACTGCACCATAAAGTTTCAAATAGGATAACTTTAAGAAATGCTAAGATATTGTAAGATTATTTTCCAAAAATGATCTTTGCACAGAACAAGTAAATCAAATTTACGGCTACAAATTTGCAGAAGATTCAGTTTTAAAGCTTTTTCTGTTGCTCTAGAGATTAATTTCGATTTTTTTTCTATTTTTTGTGGATATTTTTTTGCATCGTGTGAAAAAATGTCAATAATAATTAAAAGACTTTACATGACATTTACTCTCACTTCATATGTTTACATATTATATCTTAAAGTATTACAAGCCACTTACTATGAATTGTTGAATTAATAAATTCACAGACAATGCTTTCCTACCGTCAAATTTTCGGCTCTTCTCAAGAGCCTTCCTCAGGACAAACTGGTCATGCGCTGATGATCTAAAGCTTGATCTAACGAAAATTTGACGGCATAGGAAAGCACTGACTGTGAAATTATTAATTCAACAATTCAGGTACATCTACCAGACTAATGAACTTTTTAAAGAAGCCACTTACTATTCTTGGCCCCAGCAATGTGGTTGAAGTACTTTCTCTTTCCCTCGTCCGTGAAAACCACCAGGATGGGCTGCTTGCTGTCGTGATGTTCACTTCTCTGGGCAAAGCGGACGTAGGTCCCGTTCAGATGGGCTCCGTCCAGAGACTTGGCGGTGACGAGGAAACCTGGGAGGAGAAATTAAACTTCTGCAATGAAGTTATATGTGACCCTTACTAGTCACTTTGCAGGGGCGGATTGAGGCTGTCTTCAGGGTCTTCCGGAAGACGGTCAAATTTCTAAGTTTACATTGATGAGTACCTAATTTTTTCTGTCGGAAGACGGTCAAAAAATGGAAGATGGATCAACAAAGATAATGTGGAAGACTCAAAAAATATCTCTGGATCCGCCCCTGAACTTTGTGTGGATTGAGGAGAAAATGGTCACCTTTTATTATAATTTCTTGGAGTTTTTTTTTTTTCGATTTTCAGTGATATTTTCAGTTATTCATGATATTTCATGATATTGTTTTCTTGGCATAGCGGAATTTTGCTCTCATAACAAATGAAGATTCTTGATTTTTTTTCAAAAACTACACATTTCTAACTTTTCTTCTGCTTTCATTAATACGATGTTATCTATAGGATATTATTCTACATGTTTTATTTGAAACTGATTTTAGACATTTTTCTAATTTTGATACAAAAAATAATAATTAAATACAGGATGTAAGAAGGAAAGAGGTTTAAACGTATGTTTTTTTACACGTACCGTGGTTGGTAGAGCTATTTTTGGCCCAGTCCTCGACCGCCTTTTTCACGTTGAATACCTCCCACCCGTGAGTGTGTCCGCTAAGTCGACGGGCGTCAAGCAGGCGAACCCCCTCCTCTGCGAACATATGGTTAACGTCAAGGACCTGGTATACCTTCAACTGACGACAAAACAACAACGTCAAAATGTTGAATTTTATAGCATAACTACTATCATAGACTATGTTCTTTAAGAAGATAAGGGTATTATTAATGGGCAAAATTTCCAATTCTAAATATAATAACAGTTTTGTGTGTCTGCAGCGTACGACAATTCCACCTCTAGCCCACCTACCTGGTGACAATTTAACCAACTGAGAATAAAAGAAGATGTAGCGTTCCTAACAGGCAGGAATGCTGTATTTTATAGAAGCAACGTCAGCAGACGTCAGTTGTCGCAAAGCGTCAAGAATACCATTTATCATTAATCGATTGATAGTATAATCAATCTCACTCTAGATTTTATCATTCTTTGTCCGGGAAAGTTAAAAAACACATTCTGTTTTTATCTAAATCTCTGTTCCAGGGTTAAACAGCGATGTAAAGAATTTTGAATGAAAAATAAGACGACAGAATAGATTATCCCCTGTCACACTCCGTGTGGGTTATATATACCAGAATAACGTCACATTACGTCTATTGGGGTCAGAGATACCCCCTGATTACCTGTAAATACAATATCATATTAATCCGCTCGACGGACGGTGACACTACAGGCCACAATAGACGAGTACATTAGGCAATACGAATAATAATACCCATACTGCAGTCATACATACACATACAATGTAGGGGGTACTTTAACCTGTTCACGTTTCAAAAATCTCGGAATTATATGGGTAAACCATTAATTGGCATTGCGTGGAAAGTATCTTGGAACCCCTATTTTATAAAGCGGGCACTGTTTTCATTACGCAAGCCCCCCAAACACCTGCGCTTAGCACATCTCACTGAGCGTAATCTAGAAATGATTGGTGGGACGTGGGCCAAGATATACCCGTGTTTATGAGAGTGTGTATTAATATTCTAATGGTGCACTACTAAGATCTACTTAGGGACTCTTCATTGCTCAATAACAATGTTGTACTATTAAGTTTGTTTTCGTAAACGGCAGGCTTTACTCGCCCTCACTGACCCTTCCAACCCTCCTTGGGGACGAGGTCGTCATGGACTTCATGCAGTTTTTTTCTTCCCGTTTTTAGCGATCCACCATCGGACCCCGCGTGGCTATAGTCGTGCACATAAATTGTTTCTTTACGAGGAGTATTGTTCCCCGTTTCAAGGGCCCTCTTTAGATCGACTGAACTAATTAGTCAAGTATTTGAGCTTGGTATAGAGAGCACAGGTGTGACGGCTACACGGGGATGTAAATTACCGCCGCACCTGGCCTGCCAGTTTTAATACCCTCACTGTATGCACCCAAGCAAAGAAACACTCCCAACCTACTCCTACCCGAGACCTCTAGCACCCCCCCCTCCTCCCGCACCCCCTGCCCCTGAAAGCACTAGGGACTCTCACTACATTAAACAATCATATCAGATTTTTACTCCCAGTTGTTTTCTGTGAGTCGCTAACTGACAATGATCACTGATTTAATGACTTCGCTGAGATGGCGGTAATTAAATGAAGAGATCCTCAACCCCAAAGAAGAGTGGCAGGCCGACAGCAGACTGGCAGGTCCTCGAAATTAGTCAAATTTAGTCCTGATTTCGCATCGATCAAGACTGACACCGGGGGAGAGAGTCGGCTCCCGGGATTGACAATAGAAGTTTAATATGCGCAAGGAATGGCCCATGAAGTGGGCACAGGTGGCCATGTATACTTAACACTTCACTCATTCTCTGTGATTCTCACGTTTTAACCGCACTTTGTACACTAAACACATGTGCATATATAGGAATAGTGCCGAAGACACGTGGAAGGGTGTCAAAAATGTGTTTGCCGGTTTAATTTCGGCATTCTTCAAGTAATAAATGATTGTTTACCAGTTGAACCGGGGTAATATTGATGGAATTAATACGTTTATGGGAGTGTCGTATTGGGCTGACAATTCTTTTCCAGCTTGGTTCTTCATGATGTGGGGTTTATCACCGCTATGCCCTTAGATCGTACATTATCCTGTTCTTGGAGGGGCGATCGTGTTGTATCTTATTCCATATTGTTTGTTTACCGTTCCTAAAGGGTAAATACATTTAGCCAAGCATTCATTGCGCAACTTACCTCTATCAAATGGACCGCCTGTCTTGGGCGATCCTGGTTCGTCAGCCGCGGTTTCATTTTGAATAAATGAAACTCAGCCTCCAGAATTTCTTCCCCAGGTTTGATGAAAGATACATTGAAATAGTAATGAGTCTGATGACGGGTGTCTGAAAAGAAAAACTTCATATATTAATTACGATCAGCTGAGCGGGTTTGATGAATGTAGAACAAGTGTTACTGGGTGTGGCGAAGGAGTTTCTAAAAATAAAGATTAAAAACGCTAAAGGTCCCCCACCACCACACTTAATTAACTTTCTGTAAGAGAGCAAAATATCATTTCTGGATGAGTTCAAGGATATTATTTATTCATTTGACTTTGTTATGTAAACATACTGAAGTACTAAATTTAACATAGCCAACAGTGTTAATATGTAATACTAACAGCTGAATTAATTATCATTATTATTATTATTAGATATAAACCAGAGAGGATTATGTCATAATATACATTTAACTCATTATTACGGTATGCCCTGAGACTTTGGTGTAAATTATTACATATTCCCAATCAAAACACGGTTTTGTAGATCTCAGTCTAGGCAAAGCTGGGGGTTGTTTTAGAGCAGACATTTCCAATGGGAACATGGGCCATAAACGTAAAGCTGTAACCTGATGGCTCAGCTGAAGAGCGCCGCCACGTGGAAGACGGCGTCTCTCAAGCCAGCCAGGTGCAGCACGTACAGAACCCTACATGCCGGCGTAATCGCAGCGTTTTATTTTCTCACAATTTTTTTCTCGCCTCCCTTGTCAGCAAAATGAGTGAGATTATCACGTCTTTTCATCAGTGTGGTTTTGGAGGTGGAGGAACAATATCTCGTCTATAATACCACCTTAAGTTGGGTTCAATGTGAAGCAACTGATGATCAAAGGCAGACATTGTATCTTGATTACAGGTTGTCACAACCCCTGACAACCCCGTGACAGCCCGAGAATCGCACGTATTAATGAATGCCAAAAAATGAAAATCGCTTGTTCTTTTCTCTTGCAGTAATGATGACGAATGGGACTTATTTACCTCAATTATAGACATTTTTCAAGACTGTCGGAATGTAAGACCTAGAATTCTACATAGACATCTCACGGCGTCACATGTACATAGCTTTCTTTTTTGGGGTTTGTGCGGGTTGTAAATGCTTTACATTGACTTTTTTCAGGCCTTCGACATCAAAGCGAGAACTTCAAAATGTCCATTTATCACTTCTGATTAATTTTCACGATGAACTTTTTCTTCTACGTCTTATCCGTTAACCTACCAACCTCGTCTCGTGGATAGTAGTCACACCCATTAGTGAGTCAAGCGTTCCTCCATGGAAACGTGACATTATCCTAGGCTCTTACAATATATATTTAAAAAAAACAAGCTGTAAAAGTGACTACATACCTCTATCCGGAAAACTCCGTATAACGTCGGCATTGAAGGGTTTCATCCCCTTGGTAATTCCATTAGTGTCCGCTATGGCGTTATACAGGTCTATCATGTACTGAGGTGGAGAACGGTGGTTATGATGTGGTATCGGGGGTGGGTCTATCCCAAAAACTTGTGATAACTTCTCTTTTGCTTCTTCACTAGCGAAAGGGTTTGTCTCTCCCCTTCCACCCCTCAGTTTATCCAACGGGTGGGACCGCAGAAGCGTAGGGAATCCCGAGATTAATAAGCAGACGACCAAGAAAAGCCTTATGGCGCCAAGCTGTCTGGCAGTCGCCATGCTGTCGTACAAATGCGTTCGCTCAGGTGTCGTCTAGTATCCCCAGTATCGAATCAGTCGAACAGCGGGGGCACTTGCTAATTGCAGGTGTTCCTTCAAAACCTCAGTGAGAGTCGTGGACAGGACACAATGCGACCGTTGACAATGGCGAGTTGGTTGACAAATCTCTTAGTTAGCCCTCGTGTTGCCTGTCAATGAAACACACGCTACCTCATTGTAACCAGATTAGCAGCTATGTGATTTTCACACATTGTTCCCACATTTAAGGCCACTATTTTGGGTATTTATCGTCAATTAAAGGAGCTTGCTTTCAGGTTTCATTAAAAACAAATCGGGCCACCTGCGCGCACTCGTTTTCCTCCGCCCATTGTAAGTGAACGGAGGGGTCTGCATCCACCAATGCGCTCTCACCGTTTTTTATGCCCTCTAACCAACTTTACACTGCGACAACAAAAGCCGCTTCACGCTACATAAAGCAATTAAAACTTCCTCCCCTTAAGGAGTAAAAAGATAGGTTTCCTCTCCCCCTTAATTACACAAAATATTTTGCTGTACGAATTTCCAATTACAAACAAATACATACAAAGCCCTACCAGCTAGGAATCCGAAGTCTGTTTACTCAGTGGATCTGACACACGCTCTTCCTTTTTGCTCTCCAAAAAACATGAATTAGCGCTGCACTCTCACTCTAATTTATACACTCGCTTCAACATGTCATAACAATTAAGGCATTAAATCTTCAATTCGTAAAGTATTGTCGATAAAGGTGTTGCACTTTCAGGCATAAATATTTTCACATTAAGGGAGTGGGCGGTGCTTGGTGTTGAAAACTGTCAATCATACCAGAGCGACAAAGTGATTGGAAGTGCGGCAGTGTCTAGCCATGCCTTTCTTTTTTGCACGTTACCTTCCGCCAGGCATGCTTAATACAGTGCACATACAAACTTACTGTAGCTACATGTACCACATAATCGAGATGTAGAATTATGGTTAAGTAGGACACTTCCAGTAACATGTGCACATTGGTTCATTTTTTTATTGTATCTAAACTGCGTGTCTTACAACAGAGAGTAAAAGTTACGTCTAAGTAATCTTATTTTGCTCACACTGCATTTGCACTCCACTCATTCGTCGGAGCGAGATCAACAACCAGATGCACGATTTATTGCTCGAAACGACAGGACAAGTGAATTATTTACAAAAGTTTTATTTCACGCAAAAACAAGCGGAATTAATGTCGATTTGACCTTACAAATTATTTACAACCGCGTAACTCTCGATGACAATACAATCTGTGAACCTGAACCACGCGGCCAGAGAGGAGCGGAGTGAAGGAGGTACACGTACCAGGAACGCAGACAGTTAAGCCGTGATACTGTCGCTGGAAGCGGAGATGTTCAAACGTACTTTTCAAAACGAAAACAAGTCCGATTTTTTACGCTTGGTAAATCTGCTCTTAGCTGGGACCGAACGCACGTGAGGCTGTATCCATCGGCACGGCGACGTAATCCTGTGAATCTATTCTAAGGGTTCCCCCTGGTATTTTACACTGTACTGAACTTACATCTAGGGCATTATTTATTTATTTGCTTATCTTGCAAAATGTATTGATATTTTATCTGAAGCTGTTGAGATAGACCTTGGTGTCAAGTACAGTTTTCTTCCCTGTTCCCGACACCATACGGGCAACAACGAGCATGTTACGCGAAGACATTTTCCGTTTTTGTCTCAGACTTTGGCATTTCAGTCATTACGAGCGACTGCATATTAGTCAGTCTTGGTCTCTCTCTTTACGAATCGCTCCGTTTGAAATAAGACGTTACAGAAGTTCCTGATCTCCCTTCTGTCCCATGTTACTGACAGGCACAGTCTTTAATAGAGAACAGAGTTCTTTGGCGGAGGTCGGACGCCGTGTAGGTGTGCTGAGAGTAGGAGCTTGCTGTACAAGACTTGTCTCTGTGCTGGAGGGACATAAGGCACTCCTTCACGTTGTCGGGGGACCTGAAATTGTAGAACCTTCATGTTAAGGCGTTCTTTAGACTTAGACAGATATCTTCTGTTATTTTTAGACAGATTTAGACAGATTTCTTCTGTTCTTATATGATCACTGTTAGAAACTATTTAAGCTGTTTTATGTTACGGCAGCTAAAAGTATCTTGTATATTAATTAACCAGGCACAGTGTTAACAGCGAAATAAAGAAAATAAATCGCGCTGTCATATAATCTTTTACCTCATAACACATCTAAAGGTGTTCGAATTCTCTCCACAACTCCCTACACACTTTCCGACGTCAAGCCTTCTTTCAATTTTCTTAATTTCAAACGTCTTATCATCTATTTTTGTGTCGTAAAAGGATTGGAAATGCTGAACTCTATAACATGGAGAAGCACACTGGCACTCTTCAATGACGCTTACGCACTCTGCACCTGAACAGTTAAAAAACAAATTCCATTTGATTAATTTTTATCCTAAATGTAGTGAAGTGATGTATATCTGGTGTGTAAAGCGTAAATTATTGCCTTCACTGATTTCTTTCTCTTTGAAAATATTCTCATTTTGTTCATGCCCCCTGCATTACTACTTTTTTCGTTTTTTTTATTTTTTTCCAGATTTTTTAAACATGAAATTGCGCGTCCCACAAACGTCTGCAACATCATGAATAATACCCAACCTTTTGATGAGGTCACGGTAGTAAATCACTAATGTGCGATGGCGTTATTCATGCGAACAGAGTGCTAAACAACAGAAAACCCGATAAATAATCTCAGAAATATGAAGTCTGAACAATGCACAACACGCGGAAGTATTGAGTACAGGCCACGAGTGTCTTGTTTGTTTACGTGAGTCGCTTTCTAGGAGAGTTTGCCGTGTTTTCTTCCGCATTGCGCTGTTACAGAGGGCCGTCTAGGGACAAATTAGAACGAGTTATTAGTGCCCATTACACCTAGAACAAGAGGACGACGTGGTACGCTCATTTTCCCGCCGGCTGTTTACAAACACGCACAGCAGAAAACTCTGACGCACGGTGTCACATCGAAACCGCCTTCAATCTCATGAATTTTAGAAATTACAATTGTTAATGATCAAACTGATGCGCATAAACTGAGAGAATTTATGATCCGGGAGTGTCGCAGTGTCTGTTAAAAAGTCATTGTAGAAGGATGCTTCAAGGTTTATGCCGGCGTCTGCAAGTCTGGCGCTACTGCGTCTACCCTAGAGGGGAAAGGGTCCGTTTATATGTCTGGGAAAATTTAACTTTAAGGACTACTTTTTGTTTATAAAACAATGCGTGTTTTAATCATTTTTGGACGTTATGTTCTAAGTTAGCACTTGGCAGGTGTACCCCCCCCCCCATCACTAGTGCCAACGTGTCACAATCAAAACTTACCAAATTACTTACGACAAAACGAGAAGAGGTGGAAAGTTTTAAAAACCTTTATATTAAAACTGATAAAACTGAAGCACTGGAGAATCAACCTTAATAACACTGACAGGGGCAAGTTTTGTTCCAAGTTCAAGGTATGTAAAATTATTGTCACGGAAATCGCGTGACTCGAGATGCAACAAAACCCCCTTGGAGCGCAGATTCACCTTGGAGAGTGCAAATGTCAGATACTGCGCCTCTAATGTAACACGGGTACAATTTGGAGCTGTGGTAGATGCCTTTTGATGAGAATTTGGCGATCTGAGTCAAAGATGTTCAGCAATTTTTGAGACCACGGGGCCTTTTAAAACACCTTCAGAAACAGTCTGTGTTAATTTCCCTGAATGTTTAGGTGAAATATATGGAATAAACTTTACTAACATGCAAGTTTAGTTAACTAATAAAAGTGAAACAACTATATAGTATTTGCGTTGCTGTTGTTTTGCATATTTTGTTATCTAAGCAACCCGTCACAAGAAATTTAAGCGACCCCCAATTTTGCAATGATAATGTTATCATATAAAGTAATAAACTTATTGGAAAATTCCAACAGTTATCACTTGTTTTATCAATTCTTCATCACAATTCAGTTAGTTGATTATATCACGATAATTCGGCCGAATGGGCCATAAAAGTTGTATTTCAATTTGAATATTTGACAAAAATACAGTAACAGTGTTGTCAAAGATGGAGGTCATCTCACCATTAGGGCCCGGCACTTGGATAGTTCTGTTCCTCAAAGGAGAGCAACTTCCATGACCTTCAAAACAAAGACAAGAAAGAAAATGACCAGCAAAAGAAGTTCCGATAATACGATACACTCTACCAGGACTACAGGTTCATTTTTCACTAGATATTCACTGGTATGTTTCTGGCTAATTCTTGACACAGTTCTCTCCTGTGACAAGATTTTTCGATATGGAATTAATTTCATCACTCAGTTGGCCTCTAGTAAAGAGTAGCAATAAGTTCTTTTCTTGAAGGTATTTAAGAAAGGTGATTATTATTTAGATTTTTACTTTAACCGGATTAAAGCTATGTGTATCTATTACACCAAATGTAAATTATACTCTAAGGCCACATTCAGAATATTCGCCATATTTGATCCTCGGACTAGTTAGTCCCCTATTCTGAATGGGGTTTAAAATGACTGGTATCCAAAATGATGTGGATAAAAACAGATTACATTATCCATATTGAGTTGGGGTGCCAACCTCCAATGTAATTAACGTGTAGCCAGTGAAAGTAAAATATATATGCTAAATATAGATCAACAAACATAAAAATATCTCTAAATTTGCGTGCGTTAGTGGCGTCACTGTCCGCTCCCCCCTGGTTACCTTGGTGACAATGTCCTTGGCACGCACCAACATCCACTTCTACCTCGTAAGGTGAATCAGGGAACAGGACCTGTGTCAGTGTCTGCCGTCCACAGCCAGTGCGCCTGGCCAGGCACGCGCATTCCTCAACAACCTCGAACTCTTTCTCCGGCCCGTACAGACGCACTTGCTCTATCCTGGTTCTGTTGGGCCGACACGTGCCCCGGTGGGGACAGGGGGTATGGTCCGCCTGGAGGGGAACGCCACAGGATCAGAGGCAACAGAATTGAGCACCTTATATCTTTTCGACTGTATGAGATCTATAGGGTGACATTGTGGGGGGACTTATCGACAGAAATATGGGCAATGTTTATATGCTGATATATTCTTACTTCACATTTTTAACGTTAATAGTAACTGAGAAAGTGTGTTGATGTCATGCAGTTATAGTTTGAACTTTCATATAGTGGTCTAAGTAACTTAAATCACGCAGTTCAGAACATGTTGATGTATAGCACCAAGTGTGTCATATAAATCATATGGACAGATGCTGGTACCGATCATTAGGGTTAATCATAAGCGGAAAATGATTGTCATTTTTTCTGTCATTAACAAACAATAAGGACTAATTTGACCTCTAATGGCTGATAGTTCGAGACACTTTGACCCCAGCTTGTGCTATAATTTGAAAGTCCAATACCCGTAGAATAAAGTAGCTAATGTTGCACTTAATTAAGAGTAACCGTTTTTAATGACTCCAAGTCAAGTCTCCTACCTGTGCGTCTGTTGATCCGTCCTTGCACCCCTTCTTGCATTGTCCAATATCCAAAATGATGGGTCTTCGTCGAAGATCTAGAAATAAACATGAATAAGGAAATGTGTTCTACATTGTTTTGTGGAGAAGAAATAACGAAGTAGAGGATTGAACCATACAGACAGGTATTTTTACTTACATTACTACTTACCAAACCCTGCGATGATTATCTTGCTCTCTCTGATACAGCAAGTAGTAGTGCTGTGCGCGTCTGTGTCACCTGGAGAACCTAAATAAAAAGACAGAATTCCTCTGAGTCAGTCTACATGAACCAACCTTTAAATGATAACCTAAAGATGATTCCGATTTTACGTTGGCAGTGAAATTTTTGTGGTATTTTTGCGCAGCTTTATAGAACGCGCAACTCTGCGTTAAGGTCATATATAAAACTTTGCTCTTCATGTAGACAGACCAATAAAATGACAAAGAAGAAAAAACTGAATAACGCTACCTGTTGCAATAGAAAAAACTATACAGCATACGAAGTAGATAACGCAGAAAAGCGATGCCATGGTCATCTCAATAAGAATCTCAATGGTCCTACGCGGTTTACAGTCCTACTTGTGGTAAAATTTTGGCAGTACTCGTGGGCCTAATAATACCTCAACATGGAGCCACTGTGACGGCAGCAAATCGTCAGATATGTCGCAAAACACATATGAGAGACTGGCTAAACTGACCCGGCGTACTAATTGCTGGTCAAATTCCTCAGGGCGACGTCGGGGATAGTGCGCACACCGATTTGCCCACCGCAGTTACCGCTGGCCAGTTTTAACGAAGAAGAAAAATTCAGAGCTGTGAGCGCATTCTCCAACGTGCACAATGACCAAAGAAGAAAAGCCAAAGACCGTTATTTCATATACATGTAATTTCAATATTTTGAGGAAAATAGCTGGAAGTGAGAGGCTTCTTTGCTCAGTGTGAAGGGCTTGTCCGCCTGAATGGGTAAAAGGAGTGACAGTATTCGATTGAATTGATAGAATAAAAAGCCACGGGGTCAGCCATCGCCCCACGATCATTATAAGTCAACGCGGCAGAAAAATCGGGGTCCGGGCACAAAGGGCGCATCTGATCAGACCGACTTCGCGCACCTTGGAAGAAAAGGTATTCAATCAGTCGTATCAGATTCCAATTACATCTCTATGTCAAAAGTAAATAATCCTCAGACAAACAGTTATAAGAACGCCTTCATCCACACCGAGAACACAATGGAAAAAGTTGTAATTATCAAGGTGATCTCTGCTATTTGAAACTCTCTCTCAATGTCCTCTGCGGCGATATAGTGGCGGGGTAATGAGGCGGCCACCTTTGCCCCGACTTTTGTCGTGCTTCCTTACGTGTCATGCATTTACCAGAGAATAGAACACCGGGCTCTCTGTTGCCTTTGACGCTGTTAGATCCATTAGGGGGTTAAAGAAAAAGGCAATTAGCAAGAAATTTTGAAATGCATTCAGATTTGTCATCCACGGGAGTCCGGTCCTCTGTTAGTTTTGTGGGTGTTAATTCCAGCCGTGCAAAGAAAGGCGCTATTAGCGAGATAACTAGAAATGCAAATATGACTATGCCTTTCTTTCCCCAAAACGAAATGGAGAAAATGTATTCAAAGTGTCTACCTTGCACATTGTATGATATCGGAAGTGAAGTGCTTTTGATTTCCTTATCAAATCGACCTTTCCTGGCGTTGTGAATGCCGCTATTAGTGGAAGAACCCAAATTGTAAGTCAATTCAGTATTGCGCAGTTCTTTTTCCAAGCCAGTCAATCGCGTGTTTTCCTAAACATAATGTACGGATCATCGAGTGCTTTGGCTCTTGAAGTTGAACTGACTTTTTAGGTTTATACATGAGAATCCACTATTTATTTCGCTGTTTTTACGAGGTTCTCGAATGCATGGTACCTGACCCGCCTTGAACCCAATTATGCATCGATTAGGAGTTGGTTTTTCACATCGCTACCAAATTGTCCCGATATGTAAGTACTGCGGTGGCATTGTGCCGCAAATCGCCGCAAGGAAAAAGTACGAAAATCCAGGTTAAACGTATTAACTATACATACAACAGAGCCGGGTAGAAAATGAGTTTTGCCCAGGACTTTACAAACTCTCATATGGGAAAATCCTAAACAGTAATAACAATGTTTTTTTTTATCTTATTAAACTGATTCTTTATGTCATTATTTATTTCGTCAGATGTTCTCGTGAGCAGTTACGTGCAAGGAGAGATGGTACAACGATTTTCAATTTACGACTATCACTGATCTTAATTCTGCGCAGGGATGGACCGGGTAGCGTATCTTGTCAAACCATTTTTCTCTAAGTCGAAATACACTGATGTCTAAATAACAACATATTCTACCGAGGAAGCATAGAGTACGTTATTTAACTTCACGTGGCTGGCCCCACTCGGTGTAGTCGTGACGGGGGACGGGTATTCACAATGACCGCGCTTGGCTGGTTCACCTGTAGGGAGAACCCACGCCCATTTAAGTGGTTTCATTGAGAATCAGTATGGCATTTTCCGCCGTTACGATATACATGGAAACGATTGTGATGGTGTCACTCTCATTGTACCAACTTCGATGGCAGACTGACACCTATGTAAACTATTCACTGTGAAAAAATGTCTCTGACCCTGCCCGGCGTTTCTAAATGCAAAGTGTACATAGCTTATTTCACTGTTTTCATGTTCTCGGCTCTAAGTTTGTTGTTCTTAAGGCAGTTGTGTTGTTATGTGTGTAAACAGGCAGGTAGAAGAGCGAGGTGAAAGCCTGTTGACGCCGCGGGCTCGTGGTGTAGGGTAACTGTCAGTCAGCGCTCACCTTTGTGGTAAGATGTGGCTAGGTGGAAAGAAGAAGAAAAGAAACGGCTGACAGGTACGGGAGCAGCGGAAGTGGCACAGATTGTGAGAAAGCACAGAGACAAGGAGGTTTTACGAGTCATTTTAGCGCTACGAGCTGGCGTTTGAGACCTTCTTATCTCTCGTAATATAGGACGTTAATGGCCGAGGACGTATAATGGGTCTGTACCTTCGAGTTAAATTACAAAGTTTTACGTGGAGTCTCTCTCTCTCGGTTCACTGTCTGCGGGTGACATGCCGCGACAGCCTGCAGGGGATTTCACTGGGATAAAAGGAGTCGGGAAATTACAAAGCATCCAGAATTACTCAAAATTATCAATAAACGTCCACTTCCTTTACAAGGCCGTGATTATGTCAATTCGAAATAAAAAACTATTTTGTCAATAAGTATCAAGTCTGTCATTATTTTTTGTCTGGTTCTCCCCCACAGGTGCGAAGAAAACAAAACTTGTAAAGGCACAGCCGAGCTGCAGCTCAGTTCAGATTGCGTCAGTTGAGATGACAGGATTGTGTTGGGATGTACCTGCTCTCTCCCGTCCAGCCTATTATCACATTCTGGTTAAATATGAGCCTTACGTTATATCATATTGGAAAATATAATTTTAGCGGCGTTAAAACCCCAAATTGAAATATTAAAACCAATATTGCATAAGACAAAAGATTTCTGATAAAGTTTTTGGAAAAAGCAATAAGCATCAAGGAATCGCAGTGATGTCTTTTTTCATTTTTTAAAATCATAAAACAACGATGTTATTCCACTAAACCAGGCCATGAAAAAAATCAAAGGCAACCAAAAATATTTTGCATCACGATGCCGAGGCATGCAATCCGTCAAGCCCATCTGATCACCGACTTTGTTCTCCACCAGTCGTGTTCTTAATAAGAAAAGCATACAAGGCTATGTCGGCACTAAGAACGCCTAAAATATTTCAAACTATGAAAATCGTCACCCCCCTTTAAACTTACTAAAGATCCTTTGACTTTATGAATTTGTCGTCACTGATACCGTGAAATGCCAGAGCCATTCCAGAGAAGACGCAGTTGAACACTGTGCCCCCTGCGTTACTCGCCTCCAAAATCAATTCTAATTCCCGGCTACCCGTGTTATCACGCTAGGACGCCATTCCGACCTGGAGAAAAACGCCACACTGTAATCAACATTTAATCAACTGGTTATGAATAATACAATATTGACGACAGCGTTTCTTAATGATATTTGTTACCTGTAGCGGCGTCCCAAAGGGCTCGTTCAAGGAGAAGTACGGTATCTGCGCACGCAATGAGCGAAAACAAGAAAATTTCCTTGAAACCAAATTAACGACAAGGTTTACTAGAACACACAGAAGAATGGGCACACTATGGACAGCACTGCTCTTACTTGGGCTCATCAGCAGCAGTATATCTGAAGGTACTGTCCGCTTTCTTTATATAATTTTCTCAATGTAAAAAAACGCGTTACAATGGCCGTGTATTATTAACTGCTGCAATGGATTAAAATGTGGGTCACTTCGAACTCGTCTATTTAACAGTTTATCAATCTATTAACTTAGTGCATGATTTTCTCATAATCTTCTGCACTAAACATTTGTTCACGCATTTCAAAGAAGGAAATCAATCACGTTTTAAAGAAATAGAAGCAAAAGAGAGCAGTAAGATACATTTTAAAAGAGCACTTCCAAATATTCAACTGGCATTACGTTGAACCTTTCACGACGTTTATACAGTTGTCAGCAAGCATTTCTAACTTTGATTGATAGGATATAAGATTAAGATTAATTATCTTATAATGATTATTTTAAATATTTTTTACAACGTAATTTTCCCCGATTCTTTAGTTGTAAATAAGCATTGACTCATACCGTAAGGGAACATTGAAAAGATTAATCTTGACGGTCGATTTCAACACACGTTTCTCCAACATTAAATACTTGTTATGTCTAAATGCTTTATTGGTCAGGGACTGCCTATACCTACAACAGGTAGTTGATAATATTTATTTTAGAACATTAATAAACTTCATGTAGGAATTGAGAATTAAATGAAGATGGCTTGATACAAACGAGGTTTAAATATAACACAGGGTGGAGACAGAATAAAATAAACAAGAAAGTATGCAGGAAAAATATCTACGAGAATCCATGAGAAAACGCCTCACACATGAAAGGAAAAAACGCAAAAGAAAACATAAAATGAAGAGAGATATAAGCGATATTGATGGTTAGAGGGCACCAAATATACCCAAGAAGGAAGTAACAAGTCTATACCAAGATGTATTTCCATTCATGATATTGTGTTTACTATTTTCAGTACTTTTTGACGCAGACGACAAAAATGGAACCGTAAGTAATCAAGTCCACGACCTGGGCAGTACGCCGCATGTCTGCAGAGGAAATTTAGCAAAATGTGACGAAGGAATGACACTAGCCGTTAGTCTGCGCCCTTCAAGACAGCCGCCAAAACACAAATACACATATTTCATATCCAACGGTGGTCAGACGGCAGCCTCTGAAGGTTTTTATATCAGGCAGAACTATGGGAAGGAATTCGAAGTTGGGGTGGCAAAGCAAGGCACCCTGTGGACCGTCAGATTTGGTCTGGACGCCAGGAAGTGGACAACGGTCACCCTCGTCTGGAACCTAGAACGCGGTCTCACCGTCTTTGTTGACGGGTTTCTGGTTCAAGAAAACCGTGCTGGCGTCTCAAGACTCCATATTCCCTACACCATTGACCCGTTCCCAAGACTTCTCGTGGGTAAAGCCAATGATGAAGTGAGTTCAGCAGAGATGTTTGACGGCAATGTCCGCACCGTCCGTCACTGGTCGTACATTCTGACCATAGAGGAGCTCCAGAATATCGGTTAGTGACATACGTATACCCACAAAACACACGAAATGATATTTCATCCCAATCACAGCAAGCACAGAACGTTTTATAACGTAACCTTATCATTACTATTACGTCTTTTGGTAAATTAAACGTTATTGTAACGCTATAATAACATTCTGTTCTTGTTATGATGTTACGTTCATAATGCATATTTGCATATGGTTAAATGTTCAAAGCCTCTGCTGCCTTATCTTGCAACACTTCGTAAAGAACGGTAACCTAAAACGATCATACATGAAAACTTTGGTAGATGGCGGGAAGGAAAAGGGTCAAGTCAACAACCCCCTTCCCCCTTGAAACGCACGCAACAACATTTGCGTTATTTATTCGTTAAAACAATCATAAAAAAATTAAAGGAGACAAACAATCAACAAATATATTGATTTATCGTATTAAGTATGTATTCAATACCTGGTAGCGTGATTAGACTACCTGTGGTTCACAAATGAATGGGCCATAACGATAATTAAATTGAGGCGAACCCCATGGTAACCAACATCCTCATGGTAACCAGGTGCAAAGGGAATACCCTGGCTTAGAGCCACTTAGAAATGTCTCTTGTGTTTTTTAATGCAAAAGGGAATCAATATGGAGTCAAACAGTCAATGCACAAACAAAAACTTCGGTTTACTTATCTTAGCCAATAATTAACACAAATTTTAATTGGTTTAAATAAAAAATAATTTTAATCTAAACTTAAATCAGTCTGTGATTGCTATATTTCTGTATTCTGCTTTTATATCTAGATGTCATGCAGATCATTTGCTTCTACTTTCAGATGACACCAATTTGTTCCGTCTTGGCTGTTTGGCTTCCGTTGCTGTGGAAACAACGGACGTCACGGAGTTTCAGCACCCCGTCATGGCCTGTCGTCAACACTGTCACGCGTCAGGCAGAAAAGTGGCGCTTCTTAAAGACAACAAACTTTGCGGCTGCTTTGATACTCCGGAGGACGTGCGAGATCTCCAGGCAACCTGCGACCCATCCTTAGGATCATGGGAGGTCTTTACCGTCAGTCACGTGACCGACACAATGTCCGAGGTCACAGTGCAGGTCAAGAAGGAGACTTTCTCGCAGAAACCTTACACGTTACCAGGAGAAGAAGTCCTTCTTCGGATCACATCCGACGCCGACGAAGATGTGTGGTATATTGTTGACTTCAAAGATGGCGTCACTGTCGAAACAACCAAACCAGATGTCAGTCACTCGTGGAAAAATCCGGGCACTTACAGCGTCAACGTCACAGTGTTGGGAAGAACAGTGGCAGGAACCGCAACAGTCGACGTGGAAATCCAGTTCGTGGACGAAGGCGAGAGACCGGAGGTGGTGGACATCGTAGCATACGAGGAGTCAACTGCTTCACGGTATATTCGACACCAACTGACCTCAATTGGACGTGCACCGATGACATGCACAATGGATTTCGGCGACGAATCACCCCTGTTTGAAGTCACCTTCAATGAATTCATCGGCAGCCATGATGTGTATCACAACTATTCTCTGCCTGGTCTTTATCGAACCTCTGCAACGTGCAAGAACAAGTTCGGAGAGCGAAGTACGTCTGAAATAATCCGTGCTCGTAATTGGTACTTTGACCACACGTTGATGTCCACTGGAGACAAGGTGGTCTTTCCTTTCACTGCCGTGGACTCTCTTCAATCAAACGTTCATGTTCTCGTCAACGAAAAAGCTGTCCCGTACCAGGTCCAGAATTCGTCCCTGTTGGTCGACGGGGAAGTATTCAATAAACCAGGAGGGCGCTTCTTGACCGTGACGTATGACCACGTGATGTTTCTGAAACACATTCTGGACGTTCAAGAAGAGATTGGTAACGTGACAATTGCAGCTGACAAGTACCATACAGTCATAAATGACACGATTGAGTTCACCTTCACCTTTGGCCGGGGCGATCCAATCCACGTCCTTATCGACTACGGAGATGGTTTTGAGGAAGAATTATACATCCAAAGCGCGGAGCGACCCGTTCGCGTTACGAAAACACACAGTTACACTGACTTGGGACTGTACCACGTGAAGGTGGAGGCGGCTAACGACGTGCACTACGTATCAGTATACAAGGTGGTGACTGTGGAGCGGCCACTCTCGTACGCCGAGTTCTACGCCTCCAATGTCACCCACCCATACGATGCTGTTAACTTCACCGTGGTGGCAGACAGAGGGATGCCGTCTATCCCGTTAACGTGTATCTTCTATTACCAAGACGGGGAGAAAGAATTCGTGCATGGTGTCACAGTTACTGACGATGGCGAGCCCTTTGTTCACTTCAGAAGATATGCAGATTTTGGTATTTATAATGTGAAAGTAGTTGTGTCCAATAACATAAGCTCTATTGACTTATACCACCTCATCCAGGTTGGTGACAACTTGACATGGGTGGACCTCACGACCAGGACGGAGCGCGTGCGGGTGCGTGAAGACACCGCTGACGTCCAGATCTACTGTCCAACGGGGTCTGCTGTCACCTATACCGTAGATTTCGGTGACGGGAATATAATGGTTGTGTTACCACACGACATCGCCACTACAACACCAGAGACGTATTACACCACGACCCCTCAGGCTCCCAGTCTTGCCACAGATTCTTTTATAACCAGCAACGATACACTTAACGCTATAGAGCTGTCCAAGACTCCACTTGACAACGTTACTTTAGTAGAAGACGACCTGCTTGCCACTCGCAAAAGAAGGGCCGTCAACTCAACCGACTGGAGTGAATCAAAGAACGGTACATGGCAACAGGCCCCCTTTAACCACAGGATGATCGCTCTGGAGTCTCTGGCAGCCGTGGAGGTAGGAAGCGGCGACATGGAAGGCAGTGGGGATGTGTTAGTGCCAACCAGACCAAACAAAGCCCTTCCAACGACAGAGGGCGCCTTGTCTACACAGCCTAACTTGTATTATGACGGGTTCAGAGTGCCAGAGGACGGTCAGATCGCTTCACCACAGGACTACTCTAGGTCTGAAGATGGCCGAACCGTACACGTTTACCACAAATATATGAAGGAGGGCAATTTCCTGGTGAAGGTCACAGCGAGCAACAAGTTTGGATACGTTCAGAACATTCTGTGTCAAGACATAGTTTCGAGATCGGAAGTATTGGATCTGCGGCAATGTGCCAGACCTAGGATCAAGTTTAGAGGGCTGTCAACCAGCTTAGAATCTCCATACCAACGCATGCGCTCCGAGAAGGTAATCGTCGACGTAGCGGCGAGCATAGATTGTGAAGGCATTAAGAAAGCTACATATTCCTGGAAGGTGTTTAGAATACACCAAGAGATTGATCCAATTCTAGAAAGACCAACTCACGAAATATGTACCTTACTTGACAAGAGGACGCGGTTTAGAATGGAGCCCCTCACCCTTCCCTGGGGTATGTATCGACTAGTGGCCACAGTGTCTCCCCTGCAGCACCATGTCACCTACTCTAAAGAAGACCTCTACCTGGAGATCACAAAGACACCACTTGTAGCTGACATAGCGGGTGAACCTATTCGTGGTGTTGTGTACTACGATTCCCTGACAATCGATATGAGTGCGAGCCACGACCCGGATGAGGAAGCTACAGAGGATCCCGCGTTCATCTTGGATCTGTTCTGCTACCCCATGGACGTGAAAGAGGAGTTTGATAAATACGACCTCGAGGGTCTAAGGAACACTAGTCGACACGTGACCAACAGCTCGAACGTTCACATACACGCGTTCCCCACAGATGATGACGGCGAGAGCGAATGTTTCAAAGATCCTGAAACAAAATATGTGGATTTCAGGGGAAAGAAAGTTCGCTTTGCCGCTTCTAATCTCGGTCTTAATTCCAGCTATGTGATGCACCTGTTTGTGTCTAAGGACGATCGTGTTTCTAACATGAGTCAACGGTTCCAGGTGTGGAACTCCAATTTCACTTTGGAGGGAATGTTAAACCGCCTACAAGAGCTGCTGGCTAGCGGAGACACGGGCGCTGTTGTCATGGTTTTGGGAACTGCCACAAAGAGTATGGGCAATGTAAGTGACCGATTTAGAGGTTGGTCAGATTTGATGCCATAGATAATACCTTTTCAGTTTTCGGTAACCTTACTAACTATATATCCAAACAACATTAAGTTTAAGATAAAAGATTATAGATAAATTCATATAATTTAAAACAGTTTGCATTATGTAAATGAACAAATAATTTATGATACTTATCTACTGTTGATGCGATAAATTTCATCTTATACGGGCCGTTATTTCAGAATTCTGATGACGGCGTCGTTGGAGACTTAATCGGCGTTGTGGACGAGGTTGCGGAGAAACTCCAAGACACCGGTCAAATTATAGGAGCCACGAATGCTCTGGGGGCCCTTACAGGCAACAGTGGCGGCGGCAAGGATGACAATAAGGTAGCTACAGTACATTATGTGTTCTGGAGGGTATTGTAATCGTTGAACATTTGTGACAAAACTAGTGTTTATTCATCTGCATTACGAACATATCAACTTTTGGGTATTTTTGTGAGGTTTATCAATTCCTTCGACCCAAATGGCTCTTTTTTATCACAAAAAATTCTAGCAAACATAGGGCCCAATCTTCAAAACTATTAAGGTTTAACGGCTAGTATGATAATCTTTTTAAATATTGTAGAAAAAGGCATCATCAGCTGTGAGCAAGATGGCCGGCAAAACCAGAGAACTGACTCTGTCTGAACCCATCACTAAAGTGGAAGAAGTTGGCGCAGGTTGGTAACACCATGTCATATTGTTGGCAGCTCTATGTGGATTGTGAATGTAAAGCTTTTATTTATAATCTTATTAGTTACTGCCTGACTGAGCTTATAGGCACCACAAATACTAATTATCAAAGATACTTTTTTCAATTCATGAAAGGCAACAAAATATGATGCTACTAATTGATAACAAATGAAAATTATGAAAAGATTATGTAAAACTGATACTATATCTCTTTATTTAATGACAGGAATGATCAATGTCTTCAGCAACATTGTCCCTGATAATATTGACACTGAAAAAATGAAAGAAGAGGCCAGAATGCGCAAGCGTAAAAGGCGCGCGCCGCACGAGCTCGGTGACATAGGCAGCATGCACATCTGTAAATGTCTCCCGCCCCCGAAAGGAGAGTTTGAGGAAGAAGAGGTGGATATTGAAGCAATGACCCCGAAAGATGGCTGCCCAAAACTGGACGCTGACGTCCGAGATCTGTGCCAATATTTTGACGACGAAGAGGTTATCTACATGATGCAGTTTGAACATATCGATGACCGTAAGATCCTTCTGGCAGAGAGAATAGAACAGTTTAACGCTGAGCTGCAAATGAAGAAAGATAACGTAAGTACTGCAGCTCTCCATCGTCCTTAGATTGGTCTCTAGGTTAGAAAAAAACTAATATTAAATTCAAAATTAAGCTCTTACAGCGTCTCCATGTTAGCAAAGAAAGAGTAACACTTTGCCAATGAAAAATCAAAAAAAAGTTTCTCTTGCTATATTAGTTATAGAAAAATATAGTTGTAGTACAATTCACTGTTTTTTTTTTTTTTCATAACATGACGAATAAGATGTTGTGCCAGATATTCGAACTCCAATTTTGAAGAGGTCCCCTATATTATCAATCTTTTTTATTTCCAGGACCAAGAAGTGACCTCCAACATTGGGAACGCTGCCAACGGTGTCACGGACGTACTTCTAGAGAAGACAGAACCGGACAACCCCGAGCCTATCGTGATCGAATCTCCAAAGATCGCTCTTAAGTTGCAGAAGACTAATGCCACTGAAGGAGGTGAATACTGCGGATATTTAAGAGACTTCAACTTGAGGTTTCAGTTTCTGTGATTTTCTGTAATTTACCTATTATACGCAAATGCAAGATATTTTATCGCTATATAAATATTTAAATGAAATAATGCTCTTTTCACAATAACCATGAATACAATCACGCGAAGCTACTCCGAAGTCCTAGACAATAGGGGAGTTATCGATCTTCTTGTCTTGTAGGCAGCCAGAAAATGCAAGCTAAAGGCGGTGGTTTCAACATGCCGGGTGACGTCCTCAGCCAAGGCAGTGGGGGGAACGCGTCCGTGGGTGCCAAGGTTTGTATAGAAAATAAAAAATCACACTTAATATGTATGCTATCACAAACTTAATTTCGATAATTTTTTTTAATTGTACGCACTTGTTGCTTAAATATCCATTCGTAAGATTTTGTACAGAGTGATATAGGTGCATGTTACTCTACATCAGATGTTCTCATTATCATTTAAGCTGATGACGTCTAAGAACAACCCATACTCCTGGGGAGACACATCTTCCGCCATCAAGACGCCTGTGCTCTCGTTGTCCTATATGAACGAGGACGGGTCGCCCATGGAGATCTCAAACGCATCGGAACCCATTGAAATCGTTCTTGATAAAGGTAAAGTACAGTAACTCGGTAAAAAGCGTTTCCTATAAAAAATGCAAAACAAACATGAACAGTGTATATATGAGTAAATCATATCTATAATTGCAATAATATTGTTGAAGCACTTCATAACTGTGAGTGAGTGGCGGCCCTTACCGCAATATTTACCATTCCAGACGCATCTGTGATTCCAAAGGCAGTGAACTTCTCACTGCTGTCTGACGGTTCCCTGAAGTGTCATCACACCAAGATTCCAACCAATGGCAGCACCATCCACGTCATCGTCCGACCCACGCTTCCAGAGGACAGGTTCAGGGTGAGAGAAGATACTGCTTTCACTTTCGTTATTGTTTTGAACAAATTATGGCTGAAATGAGGAAAAACAGATAATGAGGGCTCTTGCTTAGGACTTCTTTTTCTTTAGCTTTGCATTGGAATGTTTTGAATATTAATAAGCATTGCTTGCATCACGCTTATCCTTTCTAAATATAAAAAACTATTCACAAGAACAAGACAGACAATTTTTTTGTCCTTGATTGATGTGTATCATTCTATGAGACAAACGTATATTTAGTTTTACTTTGAATAAACATACATAAATACATGGCATTCAAAAATGAATGTCGTTCACCATTGGAATTTTGACTCAAAACCCGTATCAACGCAATGGGCATATAATATATTTTCAGGTATACATTAAGCACATGGAGTTCCCGAACAAGACCCACTACGACCACGTGGACTACATACCACGTGAGGAAGACGTGGACACAGAAGAAGATGACGTCAGAGAAGAATTGCGATACACGTATTTCCCTCCAGCTAACGTGACCAGTTTGAACGGCTCATACTACATCTGTGTCGAGCTGTACGGTACGTATGCAGTATATAGTATGGCTATTGTTATTCAAAGACTTTCTTTTCTGTTACCCTCGTTTTCATTTGGTTTTTACCAATAAGGAAACCAAGTTTTTCCGTGATTATTTGTCAAGCCACGCAATATTTCACTAGTGCGATGTAGTTCCAATTTGAGGAAAAAAGTATATTATTTCCAAATCACATGGTATAACAATTATTTAAACGTATTGCTTAATCAGTTGTTGTATTCTACCTGATTCAGGTGCCAAGGTGACTTTCCCGTTAATTGAAACCAACCACTCGTACTCGTGGCAGCTCTATACCTCAGGGTGTCGGTTCTGGAATGAAACCACCAACGACTGGGGAACTGACGGCTGCTATGTGAGTATATGCCATTGTCATGGGCAAGTCCTTTCTCTATATCTTTTTCATTTGCTAATTTCACTGCTTTGTAGAATCATATTTGTGGTAAGATAAATTAGTAACGCTATTTGTAAGGGGAATGTAAACATATGAGTTCAAATTTTACTATCGATATACTGAAACTAACTACATTTCATTTTAAGAGCGTTGCTCGTATGTCGAAATGGGTCAGGGTAATGTTGATTAATGAACTTTAATTTATCCTCCCTGCACCACCAGGTGGGCGAGCTGACCCACACCAAGAAAACCCAGTGTCTGTGTACCCATCTAACCAATTTCGGCGGTGACTTTGTTGTGCCGCCAAACTCCATTGACTTCAGCACGGTGTTCAGCAAATTTAAAGACCTTCACGAGAACGCGGCTGTGTTCAGCACTGTCGTCACCGTGCTTGGGTTGTACTTTATCCTGCTGGGCTGGGCAAGATATAAAGACAAGAAGGACAAGCTTAAGGTACGCATCCAACTTTCTCATCCTTTTATAGTTGCGAACTCGTAGACGGGAGTTGGAAAGCTTTACTGACCACTACATGCAGGTCAGGTGAAGCAGCTGAATCAACCTAAGTGAATTCTAGACCAGTCAAACGTCGTTTGCTTCATACAACATACTAGTATTATTGCTTTAAAAAATATGTCCCTCAAAATAACCATGCAAATACCAGTTCCATTGATAACGATGGCTGATCCACACGCGACCAATCCATTGATAAGGGGATTTGGGTTATTGGAAATATTTTAATTCCCATTCAGATAAAACTATGGTAATTTATTATTCATTTTGATAACATATTCCCTATCCCAGTGGGAGGCCACGCCCCTTGAAGACAACCTGCCCACCGATAACTACCACTACCAGATCACGGTGACCACAGGGATGAGGAAGAAAGCAGGAACAACCTCCAAGGTCAGCTTTATCCTCTCTGGCGACGATGGCGACACAGGAGTCAGGCGACTTGGCGACGGCAAGAGAAAGGTATGTTCACCAGAAACATAGACTGCATTACTTCTAATATTTATATACAAAATTGAAGTATACCTGGCGATTTTGACATTATGATTACAAAGTTATCATCTTCGATAAATGTGCTTCTAAGTTTTATCACGATGGTGTTGACTTTATCTTAACTTATTACGCTAGGAAAAAAAACTAAATAACTTTTGTGTTCTTTTATATTCTGCAGTCAAAATGATTTACTAAATACAATTTTGTCTTGCAAAAACGTGCTAGAACCGTTGGCCTATTTATTATGATAATAGCTCTAATCATACATGAAGTATGACATAAATTTTTAAGAATCTATTTGTGTCATCGATGAATTAAGTCAGCAACTTTTGATCTTATTTTCCACTTTTTTTCAGAAATTCGAGCGCGGCTCCATTTTGAATTTCATCCTCAGCGTGGAGCACTCTCTGGGCCCCCTGACCTTCCTCCGTATCTGGCACGACAACTGTGGTCACGGCAAGGAACGCTCTTGGTTCCTGGAACAGGTGCAGCTACAGGACCTGCAGACCGGAGAAAAGTGAGGAAATCAAATATCAAATAATTCTATACTTCATTCTCAATGTCTGAGGCCTTTGATAGACGGAATTTAGATGCGTTTTAATACTTAATAGCAACTGAGAAAAAATTTTTAAAATCCTTTGTCACTGATTGATGCTAGGTACAGAATTTGAGTTTTTAGTTACATAGGGGAACGTCAAAGTTCACAATTCTCAAGAAAAGTCGGTCATATGAGTTGACCATCAAATTATTTTGCTTGCCAGATTCTTCTTCCTGTGCGATCGTTGGTTGGCGGTGGAGGAGGACGACGGAATGGTTGAACGTATTCTCCCCGTGGCTGGGCTGGAAGACCTCTCAGACTTCAAACATCTCTTCTCTTCCTCCGTGAAGAAAAAGTTGACCAACGAACATCTCTGGTTCTCAGTCGTCTCACGTCCCACCAAAAGCAACTTCACCCGCGTGCAGCGTATCTCGTGCTGTCTGTCACTGCTGTTCTGCACAATGATTGCCAACGCCATGTTCTTTAAAGCAGACGACAAGAAGGAGAAGGTGAACGCCATTAAACTGGGGCCGTTGTCCTTCACTCTGAGCCAGTTGTACGTCAGCTTGATCAGTACTCTGATAGTATTCCCTGTCAACTTGATCCTGGTGACCGTGTTCCGCAAGGCAAGACCCAAAAAGAACACCATCTCACAAATGAACGCCGCCATTAAATCTAAGAAGTTTCGCTGGAGGAGCATGAACCCGGGCTCTTCCCTGTGGAACAACGTGGAGAAGACCAAGATGCAGAAGTTCAAGGAGAGCATGAGCAAGATCCTCACTTTCCACCAGAGGTCGAAGTATGAGACGGAGATCCCAGAGGAGGAACTGCCAGGTTATGATAAGAAGAAGAAGAAGAAAGGGTTCACACTGCCCCACTGGTGCATGTACTTTGCCTGGTTCTGTAAGTAAAAACTAAAACGCTTTATATACTCCGTACACTTACACCTTATTGTAACAAATGCACTTCATATTTTATATATGAACGGAACTTAACATTTCAGTAAAATTTGTCAAACTTAAAACAGAAGGATAATAGTTCAAACGTGCATTTTTGTTAATAGAATAAAGTTCAAATTAGATGGAAATGTAACGCATTTAAATTATGCACATGTATATGATCTAAAATTCTGTTCTTATTATTCCAGTGTGTTTCTGCAGCGTCTCCTGTTCTGCGTTCTTCGTCATCCTGTACAGTCTGGAGTGGGGTAAGGAGAAGGCAAACGAGTGGCTGACCACCTTCGTGTTATCCTTCTTCCAGTCCGTGGTAGTGGTGCAACCTATCAAGGTGTGTTCATCTTTAATGCAGTATGAGACTTGATACAGGTTTATATTTCGATAAGGACTTTGAAAAATAATTTCAACGACAGACTCATTTTTTCTTTCTAAAGTGATGGTTGTACTCGTTACGGTTGAGAAATGTATTTTGAAACAAAGATTAGGTAATATAAAATACGAATTTATTCAGTAAATAAATATGTAAGTGGAAACTGTTTTCCATTGGGTGATAAAACTAAAATAATGATCTGGACATTAAAATAGTTATCAATGACAGATCTAGAAAACATCACATATTATATAATATGTTTTTCAGGTATTCTTGCTGGCTGCGTTCATCTCCTGTGTTTTGAAAAAGCCAGAACTAGACGAGGAGGAAACATTTGACGAGCCGCCGACAACAACAACAGACGAGTACTTGAAGAAACAGCAAGTCAACCTTCAGGGTAAGGGAAATTACTGCACTTTTGTCTCTGCTGCTTTTAAAAATTCAAACAGTTCATTTGGTATATATGAGTAAACCGTATTTATTGATGCCTGGAAAACATTTAGATATTATTGAAGACAGTCAATAATATCTAAATGTTTTCAATAATATCTAAGTTTAAGATACTTGGTGTTATTTTAACCCCAGACCTCAAGTGGGCTGAACACATCCAAATCATGTATGCTAAGGCATGTTTAAAGCTTTTTTATCTCAGACAGCTAAAGAGGGCAAAACTGGACATACAAGATTTATTAACTATTTACCAGTCTGTAATAAGATCAGTTTTAGAATATGCCTGTCCAGTATGGGGACCAGGTCTGACTGCTGAGCAATCTGAATGTCTAGAATCAGTTCAAAAGAGAGCCTTAAGGATTATTTGCCCGGGTTTCAGTTATGATGATGCCTTAAAAGTTTGTAACATTGACACCCTAGACAAACGTAGACATTTGCTGTATCAGAGGTTTTATACAAAATTAAAAAATTGTGAAAAGTTAAGTCATTTATTGCCTGAAAGAAACACCCGCCCTTTACGAAACAACACCAAATTCTTACAACCAAAAGTGAAGACGGAACGTTTTAAAAATTCCTTTATTAATTATTGCCTTTTTAACTTGTAGTAATTATGGATGCCTTTTTAATTTGTAGTATTTTAAGAATAATTTATTGTCTTATAATTTAAAGTTTATTGTCAATTTTTCTTTTAAACATTCTTTGTACAACTTCAACCTTAGGGTTGCAATTTTATCTAATAAATTATTATTATTATAAATATTATTGAAGACAGTCAATGGGTGTGTGTAAAAATGTTTTGCAAATGTCTTACAACTTTAGCCACTAATTAATTAAAATACCGGTAGTCAACCCAACGATAGTCAACATCTTTGTTTTTCATCAGTCATGTAAAGTTAAACCATTTTATTTTAGATCTCATCATGCGAAGAAAGATGGCACAGAGTTCCTTAAAACCACCAGATCTAACGGCTCTGACGGCAGCTCGAGAACAGAGAATGAAAGAGATCCAGATGGAAGCTATCATCAAGGAGATCCTGATTTATTTCTTCTTCTTACTGATCTTGTTTTTCCTGTCCTACCAGACGCGCAGCACCAGCTCGTACCTGTTCACAGAGATGATCAGAAATACCTTCATCAACACGTCACCCGCCATCAAAGATGTAAGAATTCAAATCATTTATTTACATACACAACATATGTTCAATCTACAGAGTGATTAATTTCCGCGAAAATTTTGATCTCCATAAAACGCATTTTGATTGCATTTTAGATAGCTCTGCCGTAGTAACCACTGTTAACCGTACCCTTTTCAATCACCCAAGACCCTTGTCCAAATCATTTTCATTGGTATGCACGGAACGATATTCATTACCATGTTTTACCGTTTGTGCATCAATTTCGACCTCTTCGTGTACGTGTTCAACATATGTAGTTTTTATGCTTGTAAGATACATATATAGGTTTGATTTTGATTAAAAAGTATTCTGCTAAGAGATATATATTCTGTTTTCAATTCTTACAATATTATGATGTTCATGGAAGTTACTTCTTATTTGACGCTAAATTTTTATAAAGAACACTAATTTTTGTTCACATTATCTCACATTATCTCACATTTATTCTTCTCCTCTGTTGTAGGTGCACACTATCCCCCAGTATTGGGCGTGGCTGAACAGCGTCCTCCTGCCCGGCCTTTACGCCTCCTCCATGTACAACGGCAAGCGTCTGGATTGGCGGCAATCTCTCGCTATCGATGGTTTTGGCGCCAACAGGGTCGGCGTGGGAAGATTGAGACAGATGAGAGTGAAAGACAGTACGTATAATAATAATAATAATAATAACTAGATTGCAACTGGCTAAAGCCAGTGGCGGAGGATTCCCCTGCAAAATAGGTTTGAAAATGCTCTTACAAGGTCACGTGAACGTCATGGGTTAAATTTGATCCCATATTCTGAAAGAGCATGTGCGAATTGGGGGGGGGGAGTCAACAAAACATCACTTTTAGCCCACGTCAATATTTCTCCATGAAATAGCCAAATGACCTTGAAAATGAGGGTCAAGGTCAAATTTGACATTTGATTTGGGGGTTTTGGGTATATGTTTGGGGTAGTTTACTATAGCATGCTATGACCAAAAACCAGTGTTTCATGGAGAAACTGCCAAACTCAAGATTTCTGCAATGTCATAAATATTTAAAAATCTATATTAAAAAAAAGTAATTAAGCAGTCGCTACCAAAGTACGGCTAACCTTAGATAAATATATAGGGCATCATTTGCCACTATGATCGGGGCTCTGGGACTTCCGGTTTCTGAGATCTCGGAAACAAACCTTTTTTGTGCCCGTTTGGCCATTAGCGACCTTGACCTTGACCTGCTTGCATAAAAGTAGGTCATTATCTGTGGATTTGGCTCAGTATCATTTGTCATAAGGCCCTTAGCCATATGGCTTATACTTAAAGCCTAATGGCAATTTCAAATTTTACAAATTTTGCATTTAAAAGCCCCTGTGACCTTGAAAAGTAGGTCAAGGTCACTGAAACTGGGTCTGTGGCATATTCTTGCCATAGGCTACCTATGATAATTATTTCAGATTTTTTGCGAAAAAAAAAACGCGCGGAAAGAATAACTATAATAATACCAAAAACAATAGTATTCCCCTATGGGGAATCCTAATAATAATATTTATTTATTTTTGTGATTAAGAGTAAAATAAGTTACCTGAAGTGCTGCACATGTTTTATGCAACTATTTCGCCCAGAAATTGGCCCCTAATAATACAAAAGTAAAAACGAAAGAGCTAACATGTTTCTGAGTGTTTGTGGAAAGATGCGCATTTTCTACTGTTCTACGTGATCCACCGACCCATGTTATTTCGTTACAGATACTTGCCGCGTTCAACCCTTGTTCCGGAAAATAATCCACCGTTGCCGTGACGACTACAACTGGAATGACGACGACGCCAGAGATTATTATCCATTGTGGAAACTTCCGCCGCAAGACAATGAGACCGCTCTCGATATCCTCGGGGACGCTGACACCCCATGGGTCTATCAAAGCTCTCTTAAACTGAAAAACGCCCCCTATATGGGTGTTGTAAACTTCTACAAAGGTGGCGGTTACGTACAGGACTTGGGACGCACGGCAAGAGCAAGCAAAAGAATAACTCAGAAACTGAAAGATGATGATTGGTTCGATCAGTACACGAGAGCGATCTTCGTGGAGTTCACTTTGTTCAACCCGAATGTTAATTTGTTTGCCTCTGTGGTTATTTTAAAAGAATTCTTGGCAGCAGGAGGATCGACGACTATGCCTGAAATAAAGGTAAGTTGAAGTATTTCTATAGAAATAATCAGTTTGCAATCAGTGGAAATTCCCCTATATCAGTTGTACCGGTATTATATATATTTGCGTCTTCATTGTGAAAATCATCATCATTTTCCTCAATGTTTTTATTCCTTTTTTATTTTTTATTGTATTGTAAGTGCACTTTAGAACAATGATACTATATTTATTCTCAATTTTGCAGATTTTCCGTCTCTTCCCTTACGTTGGCGGCTTTGGCATCGTAGTCATCATCTTTGAGTTGATGTTCGGCGCCTTCACCATCTACTTCTTGGTGCGAGAGGTGGGCAAGATCCGGAAGGAAGGAAAAGCTTACTTCAGAGAGTTCTGGAACCTGATGGAGTTTTCCACCACGTGTTTCTCCATAGCGGCCATTGCCATGTATATCATGAAGCACGGGCTGGCGGCGCTGGCGATGAATGCGTTAGAGAAGAGCGGCTCTGGTAAGTTTGGGGGGAGAGAACATTTTAGCACAATTTAACGCTAACACAATTGGGCGTTCACCCCGGCTTAATAGAAGTGTTCCTGGCATGTGTGTCGCTTTTGAAAAAAATTACATGCTCTGTAATGCTCATTATAACGGCGAAGTTTTACCAGTAGGTTTTCTATTACGTTAAATAGTCGGTTAATTAGTACGAGTACAGGCCAACTACGTGCACAATTTTCAGATAGTTTATGTTATACTGAAATTACCAGACCAGTTAAATTTAATATATCTTTTCAGCTGATTTTGTCAACTTTCAATCTCTGGCCCTCTGGGACGAAACATTCGGCTACATGGTGGGCGTCGTGGTCTTCCTAGCCACCATCAAGTCTCTGAAACTCCTCCGCTTCAACCGCCGTATGGGCATGTTGGGTGACACCATCCGCATCGCTACTCAGGACCTGAAGGTCTTCTCCATCACCTTCTTCTTATACTTCTTCGCTTTCTGCCAGGCGGCGTACCTCCTGTTTGGGCGCCATCTGCCAAGTTACGGCACGTTCATCGGCTCAGTGGAGGCGCTGTTCGCTTTCTCTCTCGGCTCGTTCAGCTTTGACGACATGAAGGACGCCAATCCAGTTCTGGGACCCTTGTTCTTCTTCTTGTTCGTGGCTGTGGTCTATATCGGACTGATGGGGATGTTCCTCACCATCATTAACGATTCTTTCGCCACCGTGAAGGCGAACGCTGAGATGCAGTCTAACGACTACGAGATGGTGGACTTCATCGTGAAGCGGTTTAAGGCTGCGTTCGGAATGGAAACTAAAGAAGAGCCAAAGGAGGAGGACGAGGAGGGCGATAAAGAGAAAAATTAGACTTTCAAATGTAAGCTTAAAAGAAAAGGCAGCACCAATTACAGTCGGACATTACAAACAAAACAGATGTTTGTGTTAGTAGTTAAGCTTTCAGCCAGAGAAACCATTCATCCACACACTCGATATAAAAAATTTGATGTATTGGAAATTTTATTCAGTTCCGCTTCATTTATTTAATCTACTGCAAGTTGGGCTTTCTGTGCATTATTAGCGTGTTCTAACAAGCTTATCTCTTTTGTGAATTTTAATCAAATAGACACTGTCAGTTAATTTCTTTCCAGCACAAGTTTGTCATGTTCTGTCATTCTTCTGTCTTTTCTGCTTTTCTCTTTCTATCTCTCTCTCTCTCTCTCTCTGACGAGCGTGAACATAGCGTGATCAAAGTTCGACTACATATACGTGTATAATGGAGCAATAACAGCTTTCAACACTTCATTCCATGTGATGCCAAGCAGTAGGAAGCCGTCTTAGCGCACTGTGATACAGAAAACTGGTCTTGTGATAGAAACTGGGTTAGTTTAAGTTATTTTGATAACTGGCTTGGAATTCACCATGTTTTCTAACTGGAGAAAACAAAAAAATGTGTTCTTGCAGTTGCTGTATCTTGAAATCCAGTTTATTTTGCCCTGCTTACACCTGATGGTAGAAATAAAGCCGTGCACAAACATGGTGTTTTTGTTTGATATAATGGCAGATACTACGGTGATGTTTTACAGTATTTTAATATTGTTGTATTTTTGAACAGATTCTTAAATTTGGAACAGTTACGGTTTATATATATATATATAATACACTAAAAGCACCAAAATGCTATATAAGGATGAACGTGTATTTTTTGTCATTCTAAAATGATGTATTAAAATTATTTTCCCAATTGAAAAGATCAAGTAATTACCGTACACTTTGTAAACGAAAAAAATAGATCACTTCTTTTAAATAATAATAGGTAACTACGGTTTATTCTCTTTTTTTTCCATGATCATCATACACGGAAAGCTGAGTTGCCACTCCCATAAGCCCAATAGTCAAGCCCTGCAATGTTCTTTCCTGTAAACTTTTATTACACAAATGCATTCTTTAGGGCTAGAGAAGTAAAATCAGTTTGGTTGCTACTTTTGAAACATTGAGCATTTTTCTATATTGCCGCCAATTTGGGAGTTGAAATAAAAAAAAAAGTCAGAAGTCGATAAACATAATTTGTGATATATAATATACAATTCATAATATATAATAATGTTTAATATTTTGAATGATATCTGTGGCTCTAGTGAATATACTTCCTGTCAGAAGTATTATTTATCTCATGTTTCCAACTAACTGGTATCTATCATCATCATCTTTTCTGTATTTTACTCAAGGCAAGGAGGTCCCCGTGCTAAGCAAGAAAATGCAGTAGTATCGAAGTAGCAAAGAAGCATTAACGCAGTAGTGGTGTGGAGCATATTTGCAGTAGAAATGCAGTATATTTGCAGTAGAAATGCAGTAGAAATGCAGTATAGCCTACTGCAATTCTACTTCAAAAATTACATAGGGTTGTACAGAGGAGGAGCATTAATGTAGTAGATTAGCAGCATGATAGAAGCATGTTTCAAATATGCTAATTAGCTCCCACATCGAAGCAGATTTGAAGCATATTTGCAGTATGATTGCAGTAGTCTACTGCGCTGGAGTATCTACTTCGTTTTCGTAATTATATATATTATCTTTTACATTGATAGCATTCAGCTAGAGTCCCCGCCGAGCTGGATGGATCTGCGTAGACTGTTAGTTTCAATGGGATAATAAATACCTTTTTTTGACTGTTCTGAACTGTTCACATGGTTGCACACCCGCTCTGTCGCATTTGATGAATTGAGCAAATAAAATTTAAGGGAATAGGTTATCGAGTATTACTTCACACCTATGTGACATTGGAAAAAAAGAGACAAGAGTCCTGCATGTGAAAGAGGTTTTATGTTCTCCAGGTTAATGCATGTTGCTAATGGGTTTGAGGTCAATTGCATACTAATAAAAATTCATAGTATGTTTTCATTGAGATATTTATGTATTGTTTCAAATTCATGCACAAAAGGAAAAAAGTCATGATTGCATCCCTAAAAGCGATACATGCAGTCTTATATAGACACTTTGTTGTACCTTTTGTCTTCATAGTGACTTTCTACAGATCTGTTAACACATAACACTTAGGATGACTAACATTAGACTAAGGGCTCATCAAACTTTATTTACACTTGCAAATATCACATTTTATTGTCACCTTTCTTCCATGCGCCAACTAAATATCTTTCTTCGTTCTGTGCAGCAAATTAAATAACATTACACCATGGTGATCATAACGTTTATTTGGTACAAGTACAATTAAACATATTCTAATAAAATAGCAAACAAATATGTAGATTTACTGTTCTCATCTCGCTGTACACAACGTTCATGTGATTAGGTGTTCGTAGTTGTGTGTAATTGCTTTGAATCCTTTATGTACATTTTGTACGGAATTGATTTTTCAAATATCTGTCATTTTAATTGATCACTTTAACCTGGCCTCAAAATGGCGATTAATCAAAATGTGCAGTGTAAAAACATCAAAACCTATAAACGCGTGTAACATAAGCACTGTGTCTATATCAGTTTCACCTTTAATTATACAATAGACACTTATAAAAATGTTATGAAAAAAATTCAAGAAATGTTAAACACGTCTAGAGTAAAATTTTAACTGTATTTTATCAACAACACATCCATGCAATATTTACATCACCTCCATCGTACTAGCAGCGACAATTAACGGGAAATATAACTACAGCAACCAGAACAGACACTTTGTATATTTATGAAGTGTAACAGAACCCACAAGTTATATTATATTATATTATATTATATTATATTATATTATATTATATTATATTATATTATATTATATTATATTATATTATATTAGCAATAATCTGAAAAAAAAGGATAATGAACATTCACGAATTACTCACTTCTGTTACAAAAGATTGTTCCATGATTGCTTGTTTTCTACGATTGCATAGAATCTGCGTCTTGTCGCGTCTTATCTCTTTATTTAATCAAACATGCATGTGTTAGCGAATATAAATGTTGCCATATGGCATAACGGGGTCTGGTTTATGTCCATAACAGCGTCCTAAACCGCAAGGGTCATGCACAGGGCAGTACGACCCACTTGTGGACGCCCAAAAGTAATAATACGCAGAATTAAAATCTGATACAGAAAGAAACGGGCCTCTACTAGCCAAAGGATCACTGCTGCTGAACTTTACAGTGGGGAGAAAAAACGTGGGAACCACGTCATTGCATGTACTGTTACCAATAGTTTTGACAACGCGGCAGTCAATTGATCCAAATTCGAATTCTACCAGCTCACTGCCATTACAGACTATCCAATGATTGATGGTCGATTTCACCAAGAATTGTTGTGCGCCGATGAATTTCCACAATGAGAAATTTACAGCATTGAAATCTGTCTCGTTCAGCGGTGGGGTAATGGAGATGGCAACATCGCCCTGAGACGCTGACCAACTTGGTCTTGGTGTTAGGGCACCGGTCAAGTTTGAACTAAAATTTGTGAAAGTATAACTCCAGACGAGAGTCCAGCCCCCTCCATCAGTGTCCATATCACAGAAAACCTGCAGAACACGAAAGAAAAGTACAATTTACACAGGCTATGCCTTATAACCAACCTGTTTTAAACATATAGTACTTATTGTCGATCTTTTTTATATTGTTTCGTAGGTCTACCATTCCCCAAAATTATGGGTTTATCACATTAATGGTCCCAGAGGAGACAGCAGACAGATGGACTTGTGGAATAACATGATCTACTACTTTTGTCACAAAAATACGGAGATAAAAACCATGCCTTACCAAGTAAAAACAAAAATTCCTACAACAAAATTGTTGCACGGTAGCATTACATATTTCTGGTTTGATAGGAAAGTAAATCCTAGGGATAGAAGTTCGGGGTACCATATGATAAGTACATGTTAGGGTTAGTCGCGGGTAACGGGGACAATATATGGGACGAATATCACCCATACAAAGTAATGCAGAGTGGTGGATTGCCATTCTTGTTCCAGACCTATCAAGCCAAGACAAGACCATTAAGCAAAAACATTGCTTTATCTGACGAAATGCGAGCAAAACGGTGATTATTTGATTAATTAATTGTTTGACATCAGGCTAGAATTAATGTCTTCTCTATGGTACCTTAAATGTTTGATCCTGTGTTGAGATCCAGTAGACACCTGACACTGCTTCTGGTTGGGCTTGGAGAATATCTGTACAATTATCTCCCGGCTTTAACTCAGAATCACCTAAAATATTGAGATCAAATTTCTGTTGTCTCTAATTTAAGCCATCAGTCATAAAATACAAATATAAGTATTTCTGTTTATTATTTTTTTTCGAAGGTTTTAGTTTCATTCTAAGCACAATGGATTCTAATTTCAAACATATACACCAGATGCAGTTGTGCGTTAAAAAAAACATCATCATGTTTTATTGTAAGAGATATATTTATATATGTACTGGTGATAATATTCAGTCCACTTTCTTCTGGCTTACCTGGTTGATCAGACGTAACACGGTCTGTTAAAGATACAGTGGTGCCAACTTCTGTTAGGTCAATGTTAGGCTAGAAATATAATTAGGATAAACATCATTATCAAAATAAAGACGATCCGTGAGAAAACATAGTCGATGTCGATGAATACTTATTGTTACAGAAATGTCATCGGCAAATGTACAAATCAAATTTTTAAGCCTGTTCACCTTTACGAGCACTTGCATAGAATGACGTAAAGCAACAAAGAGAAAACATGAAAAAGTGGTCAAAGTTAATGTATGCTTCTCGTAATAGAAATGGCAATCGGTAAATTGAGTACAAGGAAAAATAATAAAACTTGCCCACTTTTACCCACGTTATATATCTAAAAATAACAAAGACTATCACAAAACCGAGAAACATAAATCAGTAATAATAGAATAAAACAAACGAGTAATCAAACTGGAAAAGCTCGAATTTTACCTTAATGTCATCACAAGCGAACTTCATAAGCACACAGTCGCTATCAGCCATGGCGTCTTCTATAATAGCTGACGTTAACTCGGTGCTAAAAACGGTGCACATCCTCGACGTGGCACAAAACTGCACAGATTTGGCCTCAGTTGATTTGAATTTCATCCTGGCACAATCTTGAAGACCCTCTTGGGGTTCCTGTATCAGGATGTCTCGGGTGGTGTTCAAGTTGCCATCATTCCTCAAACCAGGTAAGACTGTTGTTCTGCATGATGATACTTTAACGCCGGTGACTCTCAGTGGACAGAAGCAACAAATGATTTCTGAAACAACATTTTAATCTTAAAATAAAAATCACCTATAAAATCAAATAATGAATCATTCAAAAACTGGCATCAATTTGAATTTTAAATTCGGTTTCAGTCTTGGCAGGCATAAAAAGTGATAAAAACCAATAGCACTCCACCGGGTCGTATTGAACTGTATCACAAGTAGCTGCAGCTTTCCAGCGGTACTTCTTTGGTTAAAAACATTGAGTGATACTTTCCCATGGAAAATTCAGTAAATCTCTTACTATGGGTATTGTATAACTCATTCTTGCTCAAAA